TCTTAAGTTCTTCTAGCTCGCTCGTCCGCTTCGCTCGCGCGCAAATCATTTTTCTGGCATGGTGTCAAACTCTCACGGACCTCACGGCATTCTTCGTTTGTAGCATACAATTGATACAGAATGATACAGATCATGAAGAATCAAAAAATCTATACAACCGCTCCTGCTTTGCCTAAATGCAATGTTTCTTTTTATCATCTTGTGCAAAGCATTTAGTAGCCCATTTATTGTTATCTTCTGTCTCGTTTTGTTTTCTTCCATGGTAGACTCTCTAAAGACACTTGATTTTCTTCACCGACTTTTTACTTCTGCCGTCCTTCTCCAGTGTGTTCACCTCTGTTTACTTCTTTTTAGCTTTCTCGTTGATTCTATTTCTATTTGCATTTGAGCGATATACAAGCACAACACTTTTTTCATTCGCCTTCTTTCCTCTCCTTAATTTCTTTCCTGCTATACTTCATTCGTAACTTTACTCTGTCCTCTCACATCCTCGTCTATTTCTCAGACTTCTCTTCCCATCTTTCCGCCATGCCGTGTCTTATTTTACCGTCTTCCTCTGGCATTCCAGTTTTCTTCGTCTCTTCTGGTCCATTCCCTCATTCGTAACTCTCCTGTTTACTCGCTCCTACCCTTCTCGCCGTCACTCCTCTCGGAAACGCATTCCCGTCGACCTCTCCATATATTTTCTTCCTAGTGCAGCTCTTGTCTTCCGCTTCGCCACGGACATCGTCCTTTCATCGCGCGGAAAGATCCCGCGCGCAAGTGCCGAGATGAAACCACCAAGATAGCACACGTGCGTGCACGCGTATGTGCACGCGTATGTTATATACACTGCGCCCGCGCCGCAGTGCGACTACGAGAATTATTATCATAGACGAATTCACCGGATTTATGCGACCCTCGTACGCCGCATGATCCCCTCGACCGGAAGGCCAATCGCGCCGGAGAATACCTTATAACATTTTGACCATTGCGACAGTTGTACAAATCGCACCCGCGTTTCCTCGGAAATCCTCAATCAGGATCGGATATAATTAGAGATTTTTCACTGAATTTGCTTTATCCATAGGTTTATCTATATGTTAATGGTGAATTAAACGGAAAACGGAGATCTTTCACTAGTATATGGATCTATTTTCTCTTTTCTTTGCTGAACTGACACCGCACTAGTTCAGAGTTTATCTTTTTCCTTGCAATATGGAGTAAGTGCAGCCAGTTCAGCAATAGGAAACAGACCTAATGTTTCTTAATGAGAAATTTCTCCGATGACGATCGATGAGAGTGATACAATCGACGCGCGGGCACCATTTTGCGATACGAAAGTATTAAGCCTGCGTAATCACTTTTACTGCGTGCGCGCGTGGAATGCAATCGGAAAATGACAGATTAATTGGTATTCGGGATCGGTAATCTATTTCTCTTTGTAATCCTTCGACTCTTTTAATCATCCTTCTCATCTAAGATAAGAATTCTTTCGAGCCATTAGTGAGCCGGTGAGGCAAGTCACCCCAACGTAAAATGAGAGAAAAGGGAAAAGACGTTAGGTAGCATATGCGTAATCCGTAACAGATCCATTTAAAGAAAACGAGCACCGGTAATGGCGATTTGAAATGTGACCGTTTTTGATAATGGATATTTTTCACGGAAATTTCAAATAAAAAGCTGTTGTTTTTTGAAGAGAACGGTATATTACGGACATATAAATACTCCACAATTTGTTTATATCGATCTCTTTGAAATTGTCCGAGATCGGGGACGAAACTCTCGGTGAGACGGTTCTATCGAGGCGGCTGGAATTTTGAACGAGAGCAAACGACGACGTTCGTGGTTTCTCGTAGCATTCCCAAGGCGGAGGATGCGAGGCGCTCGCGAGAACGAGGAGCAGGAAAAGAGAGAGAGAGAGAGAGAGAGAGAGAGAGAGAGGGGGGGGAGGGAGGGAGAGAGAGAAAGAGTGAAAGAAGGAGGGAGAGAAGGTAGGCCGATGGAATGGAATTCAGCAATCAGTTAGGCATTCGGCTCCTAGGATAGCGAGCTCCAGGCGGTATAAATCGCGGCCGTTTGCGCAGGAATATATCCGAGAGACGCCTTCCGCCTCCTCTTCGTCCTGTCGCGTCCCCTCTCCTCTCTACGGGCTCGACCGACGACGCGCGGCTCGTCTTCCTTCTCGTATGATCCTGCCGTACCTCACTCCCCTCATATCCTTCGTGATGACCTTTTGTTTTTTGTCATGCTAGGAACGGTATTAGGCGTCTCGCTTGGAATGCGGCTGTCGCTGAAGAGCCCTCGTTCCTTCGAATCCCTTCAGGCAGGAGATATGTCCTAGACTCTAGACACTAAGCGATACCGAGAAAAGGAGATACTGCAAGCTCTAACATTTCAGCTAGAGTCGCAAATAAAAACGATTATGTTGAATCAGGCGTAAAATCTTATAAATGCTAATTCTAGATACGTTTAATGTTGGATAGAACTTGGATATTAATTGGGGAAGACAGTTTAATCTGTGACATAGAGTTTTGAAATTTTAGCATAATAGAATTACTGAATAAATAACACGAAGTACATTAGTAATATTACGTATATAAAATAGTGAAAAACAATGTGCAAAATGTGTGTACATATATTCTTTTACCATGGAGCTTCTAAAAGCTAATCGAGAGAAAGAATAGCGTTGAAGATTCGAGTACATCACGGAAGAGGTCGAAATCAGGGGAGAGTGACAACTGGGACCCAAGAGAGGGCCGGAGATTTCCTGTCGGAAATCGAAGTTATTTCGCCGTTCCGGGAAAAAGAAGAAGAAAGTTAGTCCATCGAACGAAAAAAGGATACGCTAGTCGAAGGTCGGGCCATGGAGGCGGCGGCGATGGAGGAGTAGGAAGAGATGGAGAAGGACGAGGATAAGGATGAGGATGGGGAGGACAGGCGGGTGGAAAAATAAGGCCCCTTTCCGCGGAGCGGACCATGCTGGCCAGTACTTGATACCATCTGTGTGCTCTCTCGACAATAATAGTATGGACCGAGAAATATGTGCGCGAGGCGCCGTGGGTTCTCTCCGACGTTTTGAGGGCGAAGAGGAAGAATGGCGTGGAGGGGAGGAAGAGAGAAAGATTGTGATGGCTTCGTGGAGAGGATGCGTGAAGGCGCAGGGGGGAGGAGGAGACGGAGGAAGAGGGAGAGGGAGCGGAAAGAACTCGTGTGCTCTCCTCCGGTGCACATACTGGAGCCCCACGGATGAGGCGAGTCCCCGCGATTGGCGGAGAGTGGTGGGGCGGCGCGCAACGAGCGAGGCCTCGCTGCCCTGCCGGCTGGGTCCGCTCTTAGATGATCATCCGGAGACACGGCTGATGGGGCCAGTAGGGGCCCCAGAAATTCCAACAAGGACGGGGCATAATGCGCGACTCAAGGTCGGTTCTACTACCGACGGCAAGGCCCCGACGGATGCGACCACGTTCAAGCAGGGTCGTACCGTGACCTCGCCGGATCTCCTCCCCGCCCTTCCCTTTTCCCTTCTCTTTCCTTGCCCTTCCATCGCGTCCCTTCTTCATGCCTCGTCCTACCTCTCCCTCATCCATTCGTCCTCATCCTCCGCTGTTCCTCAGCAATTCTGGCTACCCTCTCGTCCACCTTTCTCTGCTTGCTCCTGTCCTTATAGCTTGCGCGCGCGCGCAGTCCCCACCAATGACAGAATCGTGCGCTGGCCCTCAGGCGCCCTGCGCTTCTGGATTACATTGCATGCGACGACATTCCGCGGGTCTGAAAAAATAGACTCCCTCGAGCGCCAGAATAATGATAATAAACATGGACTTGGACACTTTGCACAATGAAAAAGAATTTTTGATGCTTTAATGAAGATTTTATCTTGCTCTGATATAAAAAAGTTGAATAAATATTTACGAGATTATATATTTTTATTATTATCAACTAATATTAGTTTTCATTTATCACTTTTGGACGCAATTTTACATGCATTGTACGTACGAGTGAAAATTTAATATATTTTACAATTAGTATAAGAACGAAAGATTGTTTTTTTACTTCTATCAAACAACAATATCTAGTTATATGAAATTATTTTTCTTTGAAGGATAAGCACTTCTCACATTTAAATATTTGATGATTAAGGAATATTTAACAAGTCTCAGTTCCAGGATCCATTTATAGAGCATATTAATTGATTTGCTTTTAATGCTAGAGTAAAGCATTATATTGTGCTATTTAAATTTTAAACTAGTCCTTTATAAACCAGAACTTAGAATTCGCACCGAGGTCCTGGTTGCGACAATCCTGTCGGGGCTGTGGAGGCCCGCCTTTTTACGTCGGGTAAGAAAGAGGCGCTTGAGGCCGCCGAGAAGTGAGAGAGATAGCATGAAAAATATACGATGGAGGAAGCACCTGGAATGAGAGAGGAAAAGATGAAGAAGAAGAAGAAGAAGTAGAAGAAGAAGAGAAGGAGGAAAAGGATGAAGAGGGAGTACGTGGAGCCAGTTTATGCTCCATCCCGTTGAGGAGAGGAAAGAATCTGTGTGCGTGAGTTTGCGGTAGTAGGGGCAAAAGGGGTATTGGGGGAGGGATAGAACGGATACCGTAGAGAGGGGATAGGCAGGACTGGCCGGACGATGCAAGAAGCGAAGGAAGAGAAGGCAAAAAGAGGAAAAAAGGTGGGATCCCTTAAAAATTGAGACCCACGGAGGTGGGGATCGGAATTTCGGGCCCCGTACACCGGCCAGTCTCGAGGAGGCCTTCGCGAAGATGAGGCGAGGAGAAAAGAGGAGATAGAAGAGTACACGAAAGCGCAGGAGGGCACGAGACGGGATTGAGAGGAGGAAGTGAAGAAGTGGAGAAACGAAAGGAGACGAAGAGAGAAAGAGAGAGAGAGAGAGAGAGGGTGGAAGAGAAATATAAAGAAGAGAGGAAGAAGAGGAAAAAGCGGAGGTGGAGCAGGAGGAACAGGAGGAAGAAAGGCATCGCGTAGCCACAGAGAGTGCGCGCAGTCCACCGTGTACTCGGCATGGACCGTCAGTACACTCTCTGCATACTACCGGCACATCAGTACCGTAACTACGTGGACAATTACCATCATCATCAGCAACAGCAGGCGCAAAAGCAGCAACACAGAAGTTTGCAACCTCCAACATATCTTCAGTATCAACAGCAACGCTTGATTCAGCAGCGGCAGCAACAGCAGCAGCAAGAGCAGATCTACGAAAACGTCGTATCGCAATACCGCATGAGGATGTGCTATCATAATGATTACGAGAACGACGAGCAGATACAGAGATTCTACTGGGAGCAGTGTTACCAGCGCGACGATACCGACACTACAGCATATTACTACTGCGAATATGTAAGGGCTCCACTTGGGATTACTCGATAAGAAATATTTCCAAGTACTTGTTGGAAATCGCCAGTTAATATCGAGCGTCGTTTCCTCTTTCCGAGGACGGAAATTGAGTGTATTTTAGTGCCTCTCTTCGCAACGTAAAATCACGTTCTTATCTTTCAGGAGGTGCTTCGCAAATATTAAATATTAAATAATATAAAATAAATAATATAATATAACATCATATAATATAATATTAAATATTCTTTTACGACAAAACGTGATTATGTGCCAGCAAATGTGAGCCGTCGAAATATTTTTTAGTGAGATCAATGTATCGTGATGCATTCTTTGCATAAAAAACCGTGTGGTTTTTTCGAATATTGGGAATACAGTGATGTCGCATCTGGGATCGTAAAACTGCATATAATAAGAATTTAATTATATTTTCCACGTGAAATATATTTTATTAAACACAGCATATATCGGAGATTATACTTATACGATTAAGATCAATCTTTTTTATTTTAATTATTTCTGAAAATATTATACAAAATCCAGATCCCTTTCTTCAATTATTATTTATCCAGAAAAGGTTCCTTTTATATTAAAGAAAGATAGGGAGTTGTCTCCTTGGATTTATTTTCTTGGAGGATATTTCGTTTAATCTTCTTCACTTATATTTCTTCACGTATAATCTTTTTTTATGTATACAAGTTACTATCTGACATTCTAGCGCGTGCAATTTGCACGTGATCGCTAAACAAATAATTGGAAACCGGACAGCTCGGCAACGCTGCTATTTATGGAAGTGGATTTGCCTAAATGCTTAGAATTTAAATGACTGCCGTTTAAAAGTTACATAACTACGAAAAATCTTTTTAGCGTTTATCATTTTCTTAACACATCTAATTAGTTTGTCTCACATGTTACGAGTAAAGATATTTTTGCCGATTACAGTGATTGATACCAAAACGAGTGTTACATTAAGTTATATATTGATATAAATATGAAAATTATTTGGTGATAGTTGTTCTAAAAAGGTTCAAATTCTTGTGTTATAGGCAAAGAAGGAGATCTATGACATAAAACATCAGAGGCTTTGCCTGGCGCAGGATGAGTACAATCACCTCAATAATGCCTTAACCACCCTTGGCGCATCGCGTACAAGTTGTGAGTGTGATTTAACAGAAAGTGGATTTTAATCGTTTTTTTTTTAATTAATTAGTAATTTGGATAAATTATGCGCGCTATATACGCGGTTTATATTTACGAATGCTTCGTCAATTAATTATGACTAAAAAATTGTTCCATTGATAAAACAAGATTGCAGAAATTAAGGAATTTGCTATGAATTAAGGAATTTGTTTTGATAAGCAGTTTTCGAATTTTTTGAGATTTTACGCGGTCAAATATCCGATTTGAAGTAAATTGTAACGCGAGTAGGCAGAAAAGCGTTTTCATCATCGGAAAGTGTTTGAACGGCCATTTGTGGTTCGCAGTGTGTTCCAGCTCGAGTTCCTTGAGCACCAAATACGACCCTGACCTGCTTAAATCGGACGTGGCACTCGCGAGGAGCCGAGTTTCTCGACTAAAACGAGAACTCGAGCAGATTCGAGCGGAGATGAATTGCACGCAACGAGGAGTGGATACTCTCGCCAGGTATTACGCACACGAACATTAATCGGCGACGGCCAATTTTTGTACTAAACATTTTAAGTAATTTAATCTCAATTTTTCTCCCTCCGGATTTAAGATTTAATTTAAGAATTACAAACGCATGAAAAACATTTGTATGCAAAGTTTTGACTTACGATTATTTCAGTAACTTACGTCAATAATAATTTTGATTCGTGAAATCGAAATTTTATCATTATATATCGTAGAATTATGAACCAGTCTTTTTTTTCAACTACATCAACAGTTATTTGTATAGTAATTACAATACTTGAGAGTAATTCTAATTTCTGCGATTTATTTTTTTCCACAGTGTGGAACAAAAATTGAGCAACCATCATGGTGGATGCTACAACATCATGGAGGCGCAGGCGATCATGACGGAGCTCCGCAACATCCAGAAGTCCTTGAGTTCGGGCGAGAAAGAGAAGGCTGAGTTGATGCAATCGCTCGCGCAATTAAAGGACGAACTAACAAGGTTGCAACTATGCGAGGGCAGTCCGGAAGCTAGCACGCTCAGCTTGCCGCAGGAGAAGCTCAGCACAGCCTCCCAGACCGATCTCTCGGGTGAGCTGGTACCGATTGGCACCCGGCTGGCCGAGATGGCGCGTATGAGGCTGCAATACGATGAGGCGAGAAAACAGATCCAGCATATACAACAGCAGTTGGCTGATCTCGAGGAAAAGGTGACGCCGGGTCAAACCGAGAGTGATAAGGACAAGCTGCTACTATTCCAGGAGAAGGAACAATTGCTGAGGGAATTACGTAGCATCACGCCGCGCACGAGGACGCAACAGGACATGAAGAAGATCCAGTTGGAGATTCGCAGGCTTGAACAGGACCTTAATACCGCCTTCGAGCTTTCGAACAAAACCATTACCGATCGCGTACGACTCCACGAAGAGAAGCAACTGTTACTGCAGCAACTCAGGAATGCGCTGCGCTCGATGGCGATGTTGGAGGGCCAGTTGAAAACTTTGAGCGCTAGCACATTGTCAGTGAGCAGCAGTTCCAGTCTCGGAAGCCTCAGTACGACGAGCAGCAAGGGTTCCCTCAGTTCCGGGCTCAGTTTCACGGACATTTACGGTGGTCCGCAGTGTTTGGGATCGGTTAGTTCGCAACAGGAACGACCAGTTGATATGGTTGACCTTCACAGACGCGTCGAGAGACTGTTGCGTGGTTCCGAACAAAGCAATCTCGTCGGCACACCCTCACCCGGCAGATCACAGCCCAGTCTCTCCCCAAGATCGAGTCTGTCCAGTGTAAGCCCGCCCGTGTCGCCGTTGTACGAAAACGCGCCGATGGGTCCGCCGCCCGCTTACGATCAGGTGGAGCAACAGAGAAGGCAATATCAGAGAGCAACACCTGCAGCGATGGTAACGACAACGGCGATGGCGACAGGGATTAGTGGTGCTGTCGCGTCGCACTTGGACGGGAATCACCTGGAAGACCGTTTGTCGGAATTCAGGCTGAGTCAGCAGCAAGGAGTAGCGTCGCAGCAAGAACAGTCGTGCTCTGTCAATTCGCAGGATCGTCTGAAACTCGTGGTCGGTCCCCATCCACCCGTCGAACTGCAATCGAGTAACATGTCCCAGGGTAGCGGCCTGGGCAGGCCTGGCGCGAGTGGCGCGCAACTGCAATTGCAGCAGCCACCGTCCTTGCCGCAGGAGCCACCTCCCTTGTCGCCGATCAGCGAGACGCCACCGCCTACTGGGATCAGGTCGAGGGCCAGCAGTTCCGGCACCAACACTAGATCCGTCTCTGCCGCGGTCTCTGACGAGAGCGTCGCAGGTGATTCAGGTGTCTTCGAGGCGTGCAATCGGAAAAGATTGTCCGGGCCTATCTCCGATGTGGACCCATTAGCTTCCGGCGAAATGAGCCTAGAAACGGCGCAGGTGCAGATTAAACTGAGGTACGTTTCGTTTATTTTATCTATACTATAGAATAAATAAAAATTTGCATAGAAATATTAAAATATTGTAGAGATATATTCGTTTCGCAGAAAATAATATTGCTATATAATGATTAAAAATTTATTACATTATTAAATTGCAAAATAATTTTATCAATACAAAAAATAATAAATAAAAATATTTTTCAGAAAGATTATTATAACAAACCATACAGAAATTATTTTGAAAATATTTTTTAATTTTTTATGTAACATAATTTTTTAAATAACATTTAAACATTATTTTTATTTATGTATTTAATTATGATAAATTATTATATACCTACATTAGTTTTACTTGCGTTCTTCTGATGATTCGTATTTTGAAACAACAGAACTGAAATCTCTAATTTTACAATTAACAGGTATTCGGTGAGCGACGGACTACTTCATGTTGGGATCGAACGCGCGAGAAATCTGGCCGCGCTTTTCATACCCGAAAACGCACAAGTGTGAGTACCTACATAACTTTTGTTCTAATTACTTTCAAACAATATGTTCTAAGCAATATTTTATCAATCGTCTCGGTATTCCGACCGTTGCACCGTTTACCCTCAACTCTCATTCTTCGGAAGACAAATATTTATATCTGCGATTAGTTAACATCTCGAGGTTCAACGCGCATAGACGCCGCTGATAGCTCGAACTATCCGCGCGAACGGTATCTTATTTTTAAAAATAACATCACCGATTAAATAATTTCGTTGCGCAATGTTAGATCAACCTGCCGGCGAGTTACGCAAATGCACTCGACTTTTGTCTATTCGTGCGCAATCGGCACGATCTTAATGACCCAAGTTGGCCGGCCGATCGATCACTCGCTTCCCCCTCACCCACCGACGTATCAGAAATTGGAATGTAATTATGAAATCCTTGTCGCGCACTTGTGTGTCTGGATCATTGACCAGCCGCGCGCCGCGCGTCGCGCTCACCTTCGTTACGTAAGAGCCGGCTATTATCAGCGATACCGCGTCTCGCAATTAGCTTTACAGCCACTCAGGAATTTATTCCCGCGGCCATTGTGCCCCGGCCACCGGCCATAAATTCGCGAAACGGCACGACGCATCGACGGTCGAGGAAGGGAGACAGATTAATGTATATAGTTAGGCGGGAGCGTTTGATTAATGATCCATCTTTCGTAGCGGTGAACTCACGTTTTCCAATCCCGCCGATGAATGGAAGAAGAGGGATGAAGATAGAGATAGAGAGAGCCTTCTCTTGAATTCTATTTGCTTTCGTCTGAATATCCTTTTAAAGAATAATTGATAGCCTCCGAGCGAATCCGCGACCTGAAACTGCAACTACGCATTGAAACGCCCTTTTAACCCGCGAAACCTAACGTTTTTCTCTCGCCTCGTGTTTCAGGTACATCAAAGCCGCCCTGCTGCCCATGCAACCGCCCGTCAACCACACGTGTTGCACGAAATCCGTCGTGGACCTGCGAAAGCCGACTTTCGGCGAAACTTTCCCGATCGCCGTCCCGCTCAACAAATTGTACACGAAAACGCTGCAAGTGACACTTTGGTGCACCGAGGCCGAGAAATGTTTGGTACGTATACTTTTCTCAAACTTATTTTATCAAGTCTATTCTCACTTTACTCCGTGATTATTTCAATCAATAGTGTATTACAATAAAAAATTCGAGACACCCTTGAAAAATTGATGCTTAATACTTTATTGACGAAAATGATCAAAATTTCATATTCTCCCGAACAACGACAAGTGGTTGTATATAAAACTGAGAAACAAAGTATTATCCTAAATGGTCCCTACTGATTTGATTACAGGGTTCTGCGCAAGTCTCGCTGGCAGACTTCAGTCCAGAATCTCCTAGTGTGAAATGGTACAATATACTCTCCTTCCGCTTCATGCAACCGTCCGACAATCCCGGTACCAGTACCACCGGCGTCTCAACAAGCGTCAGACTGGCGAAGCACGACAAGCAGGAGTCAGATATTTCGGTGTATAGGAGCGTGCAGAATACGAAAGAAGAGAGTAGCGACGAAAGTACGATAATCAGTTCCCAAACGTCCACCTTGACGAGGAATCAAGGCTGTGACGAGCTGCAGACAGCCGTAACGTTGAGGCTGGAAGAACTGAATTGTCTACATAGTCCGGAAGAGGAGGATGAGGACGATGGTAGTGAAAGCGGAAGCGAGGACAGCGACGAGGAAGGTATCATCGTGGAGTTTACGATGGAAGATAGGGAGGTTCTCGAGGATGTTTTGGAGCACGAAGTAAGCATTTATTTGAATTGGTTAGGAGGCGTATTACCGTGAACACTGATTAAAAGTATAATCAATGATTTAATAGGACTTAGCATTTTTTTTATCACCATGATCGACAACTTTCTGTCGAAAATTGAACTTGCGCTGAATTTTAAATTGTTTACTGTCAAGACTATAGGCATTTTATTAAGAAAAAAATCCACTTCAAATTTATTAACGATTCTGCATTTGTAACGTAACAGGAAGATGAAGAATTGAACGAGGAAGAAACGAGGCAAACGCAGGACAAGGAAACAAACACTGAATGCGTGTTTATTCCGGAACAGGGCAAGCAAAGGAAACTCTCCGCAGCTGGTGTCGCACCCGGCGCTATTCACGACGACAAGAACTCTATTGTAATCAAGAGGAGTCAAACGTTCTCGCCGAGTGCGGCCGTCAGCAGAAATCATTACATCTGTCGGGTAAGTTTCAACCTTCTTCACAATTACTTGTATCTTTGTTTTTTCCGTATAGAATTCCGTACAGAATAAGAAAGTTTACAAAATACAAATCTTTTAACTCTGGAGCTTTTTAGATACAAGAATGTATGTCTAATCATCAGCTTAAAGGTCGCAGATTTTTTGTTACTTGTTTTTCGTGAATTTGTCCATTATAATACTTTTAGATGCAAATTTCAGCATTTTGAAAAATTTCTTTACTATTGTTTATTTATGTATTTTTTGCGTTTTATTTTGTACAGCTCAATCGCAGCGACAGCGACAGCAGTATGCCGCTTTATCGCAGAGGTGGACCTTTTCAACGGAACTCGGTGGAGAGACGTTCTCTGCGATGGCGTCGACCGTCCTCCGCTCTCAGTTACAAAACCACGAAGAAGTCGTCCCATTTGCCACCGACAGCGAGGACGTCGTTGGATCTCGAATTAGATCTCCAGGCGCAGCATGCTAGACTGAACAATCTCCAAGATGAGCTTAGTAGGCTACGGGAATTGAAGCAACGGCTGGAACAAGCACGTGAGAAAGGTGACACCGACCTGGCGACGTGGCTGCTGGAAGACCAGAAATTTCAAAATCTCATAGCGCAAGCCGAAAGTGGCAGGAACGGCAAGAGCCTCGAGGATAAGAAAGTGGAAAAGATGCTGAAGAAAACTTCAAAAGAGATCTACAAGTTGAGGAAAACGAAGGCTGGGAAGGGAAAGCCCGACATAATTTCTTTCAAGTAAGTATCACTTCGCTGTAAAATTATTTTCTATTGCTATCTTTAGTCAGTGGCGTATTCTAATAGAAGATCTAACGAATGTTTAGAATTTATACTTTATTCTCTGTTGGCGAAAACATTGAAACTTTTTATGTATTATAAGATTATGTATTATGGATAAGATAATGCTAGTCTTAATATTCAATTTCTTGTTTTTTCCGGATATTACTTGACATTTTTTTCAGTTTATTTATTACCTGGATATAATATTCGAGTATCTATAACACGATAACATCTGATAATAATTTTCAAGATACTGAAGTAACCGAGTGATATCCAAAATAACTCAGATATTAACAGTGTTAATCAAAAATCACATCTTCAAGTGGAATTGGACCGCGATAAGAATTTGTAATTTTCCAACAATTTTGAAGATTATATAAGGATTAACAGGAAAAATATATTATCTTTCATAAAGATCATTTAATAAACCAGCAACGTTATCTTTTTCCAGAGAGAAGATGGCCTTCTTTACGCGGATAAATCTGAACGTTCCTGTTCTGCCACCTGAGGAGCTCGTGACCGAAGGCACGTGTCCCGCGTCATCGCACACCCACAGAAAGTACGCGTCGGAGCCAGTTGTCACCAGCACTCACGGTCTCGTGAATTCGTCGACAACGCGGCCGAACAACGTTCCCGGCGGAAGTGCATTGCCCGCCACGAAGAGCGGCGGTGTCGCGGATCGAAATGCCGCGAATGTCGTCCCCAATGAGGAGGAGGTCGCACTGTCCAACGCCGACGTGAACGCTAAAGGTCGACCGGCAACAGAGACGGGCGCGCGAAGTTCAGAGAACGGCGAGAGAGAGGATTTACCGAAATCTGCCGAGAAGAATGGCAACGGGGAGCCGAAGAGGTACGAATATGTCGTTGACCGGGTCCTCGGTGTCGAAGTGTGAAGGTCGGAAAATCGCGCGCGTTCCAAGCTGTCGCGCGACGGAGCTGCAGTTCCGCCAGTTCATAGATCTGTTCCCCTTCGAGTTTGAAGTAGCAGCAAGACGGGGAAAGACGGGAGAGAAAGAGAGATCGCGAACAGGAATCGCGAAGCCGCTGCCTCTTAACTCTGAATCCCAGGTGCCATGCGCAAATTGTAGGACGCGCGCATCAAAGAGCTCGAAAGGATAAGATGCGTCAAGGACGGATTGTCGTCGACAAATTGCGTGCTGCAAAGCTGCTGTAGCCGATGTGACCAGTGATCGCGGTGCATGTGCCAATGCTGGGTGTCAAAAGTAACAACCCCTACGACGGACGCAGCAGCGAGAATTACACGCGAACGCTAGCGCGATTATGTACATACAGAAACGTAAATTATTTAAACGATACTCTCTACGATAGGCTATTTAAATGTTTAATCCGACTCGTCCGAGTCCACGTCGCGAAATCGCGACCGCGACACCCTCGCATGTCGCGTCGTTCGTTCCCCTCTGTGCGTCGGAGCACATGACCCACCGAGCAGCTGGTCTGCGACTCGAAAATCTAACGAGAAAAGGCGGCGCCCAGGTTGACTAGCGAATTTTGCTTCGACCTCGGTGTCGCCGTTTTACAACGCGTTCGGTTTTCTAATGTTGAGTTCCCAGGTCGCGAATGAAACCAGCGAAAATATCTAAGTGTCCTTCACGCGTATCGATTCTGACGACGCAATTTATAACTCCCAAATTTAATAAAACCTTTAAAGCGGATTTTACACCTTTTTTTATCTGATTAAAATTTTATCAAATAAAATACTTCTGCTCGCTAATTTTCCATGGCAAATAGAATCAGCTGCAAACAGCTACTTTATTTCTCTTTAGTCTGAGCTATGGAATTTTCCAAATTGTCTTCGGATTGTTCTTTTTGGGAAAGTTATAGAAACAGATTGCCTTTCCAACCATCGTATGGAAAGAGAGATCATCATATGGAAGTGATCAATGTAGAAGCATTAATAGTATTTAAATTTATTAAAAAGATGACCAAAAAGGTGATCTGAAGAGAAATTATAAGGAAAAGGCGCTTAAAAGATTTGTGTCAAAAACTGGAGTAATCAGTTGGAGACATGGTGATAAGATTAGTCTTATCTCAAATACTTAAAAAAAAAACGTAGGCGTTTTTCCGAAGCTCCGGGTAGTACTTGAGGTCGTAGGTGCCAGGGAATTAGGAGGACGGAGTGATCAGCAGGAGGTCGTGGTGTCATTTTCGGCGATCTAGATGTAGAACGACATCATAATCTCTGTCTGTCTCGAATTGTCTCGAAACACTCCTCCACCAGCAGATACAACAATGTGCCTTATTGTTGAATTAGTCGCGCCAGAAAAGCGCCGCAAGTATATACAGGATATCCGATACAAGATATCGTGATACAATTGACGAGGAGATGATTCTTCTTCTCTCTTTTGCACACAATAAATGAGTGAAAAATAACTTTCTCTTAGATTATATAGTTCTTTACTGTAATATGTCTGCCTATATTGATATTGGGGTAATGATTAAATTACAGTTGTCTGTAATGAACCTCGATAGTTGTATCACGATTTGCCGGATAGCCTGCATTATCTAATCATTACATTGCTCATGTAATACCGGGGATACATGTGAGGATTCAGACAGAAGCGCGACAACCGAAAATACTCATTTCCGCAAATAAGCGACAATGTTGTGACGATTCGAATTAATCACAACTGCTTTGACTCAAGATAAGTATCTACGTATCTTATTCGAGATAAGTACCTATATATTCAATGCTAACAAGGTATATAGGAAATAATTTTTTTGAGAATTAATTACATAGACAGTTTTATGTTGCATTTGCCTTGGTCTAGCTGAATTTATTACGTCGATTTTTCATGCTATAATTTAAATTCGAAAAAAAACTTAAGTTTATCGTGATTATTGATAAATGGTAGAATGCAAACAATTCTGAAAAGTGTTTCAAAATATGCAAATTGCGTTACTTGAAACAAAACGTTCGTCGATTGCGGTATTATGATAAAGATATCGCGGAAAAGAGGAATTTCTGGATGTCGCTTTTAATAGAAACGATCGTTTTTTTAAACGGTAAAAACTTTTATAATTGGACTTCGGCGAATCTTTAATGCGTGATAAAGATAAAGAAAAACTTTTTATTGTCATTCGACACACGAATTTCTTTTTAAATAACTTAAATTTCTAATTAAAAAATTTTTTTAAATTCTTTTCTTGTTTGCATCCAAAACTCGACCGTTCTAGCGTTAATATAGGAAATAAAAAATCCTGATTCTTAATACAGATCGTTGATAGCTTGACAAGAGATATCTCCAAGGTAACGGATGCCATATTACGTGTAAATCAAGGAGCCCAAGATGTAAATGTTGGCAGTTAAAGAAAAGGAGGGTGATAACGAAAGAAAAAACCGAGAGAAAATATTTGTACATATTTTTGTATATATCGCATCGTAACGATTATATCTATGCGTCTATAAACATAAATATATATATATAAATCTATAAATCTATATATATATATATATACATAAATATATATATATTACAAACTCACTTTTTGCATTATTTAAAAATGTATTTTTATCGATGGAACGTACGTTCGATTTTATAGAGCGTCTCGTAAACCTACAAAATCATAGAGCAATTACGAAATTAAACAACGAAGTATATAATTGCCTCACACTCAAAATGCTGAACTTATTCCGCTCATGTATTTAAAATTAAAAAGTTATACATTATTATATATATATATATATATTATTTACTACCGCATAGCGCCTTACTGTATCAAAGTAATTATAATGATAATATCAATAATGATGACGTTATTAATGGTATCGCTAAGGAATGCTAAATAGGCGATAAATGTAATTTCATAAAAGAGAACATACACACGCGGTTTACACACGTACACACAACATTACATGAGACACATACTTACAGACTCGCAGGAAGAACCACAATCACAGTTTGATTTGTAAGCAACGGTTCGTATGGTAATGATTAAAAGGACAAAATACAGTATACTCTTGCCACGTTCGTTTGTGTTGAATACCTTTCTATATTTTCCGCAACCTTTCCTTGCTATATCCTAAACATGTTCAGATAATTATAGACATTTTGTTAAGTACTTAGAAGAGTTTTCAACATGTTGGATATAACGTATGAAAAAATTATTTCAAGAATGAATTCTTTCAATCTATGTATTTAATTTGGTTCAGTAATTTTATGTATTTTGTTGTCATGTAAGAGTTGTACGATGATAATTGACAGTGAACACTGATGATCCTTGATAGATCGGTTGTATATTTTGTTTATAGAAAATTTCTGTGTTTCTCAATTATTTTTTTCTTATAGTATCAATTAATCTAGGACAGTCTCTATATATGAAACTGGATAACCGTATTCATTGCAGTTAAGTTAATGCGAAATATATATCTTTATTAGTTTCTGCGTTTACCTCATTCGCCTGGCAAATGTCTATATTTTTACATTTTATCCATATAGGATCTATGTGTGACATTTAAATTGCAATTAGGATTGATTTTTTTTTTAATTGATTCCAAGTAACCATTTAATGCGCTACAATCTTGATTAATTTTAATTATGACAAGTCTTACTCTCCGATGCTAAATGGATCAAAAAAATTGGGAATGGTCTCTGCACTTGCGATCATTTTTCAATGAGGAGTTTCATTTTCTTTTTCTAGCAGTCAATTGATTTTGTGAACTCTATTTTTATCTTTGTTCTTAAATTGTCTTAAGCATGTTTTTTTTTTACGCGAGATCTTCATATATTAATTTTTTTTGCATTATGACGCTATCATATCATGGAGATGAAACTAGTATTTTCAACGTGATATGGACGTGGTGACTGATTACATGCATTCAAAAATAATTTTGTCCGGTTTTAACAAGGAGGATTAGTCAGGAATATAGCAATTTAGCAACAAAAATATAAAAATCGTTAACTGATTAATTTGTAGGGTCAAAAAGTTATTCAATATCCTCTTTTTTCCGCTATAATAAAAATGCAAAAAAAAAAAAAAATTGACGCCAACATCACACGGTGTTCCCAAGCGGTCACCCATCCAAGTACTAACCGCGCTCAACGTTGCTTGACTTCAGTGATCGGACGAGAACTGGTACACGACAACGTGATTTGAACGTTGGCGATAGATCGTATTTTCGAAAATGATTTAACCTTAACCGATTGCAAAGAAAAATGCAAAATTTGCTTACACCATCCGTCCATCCGTTCAAGTACAATAACACGTGTATATTAAAGTTTTTGCAATTGTAAATTTATGTATTGTTTCAAATTATGTATCGATATCTATCGACAGTCGATACTGTCTACTTTATTGATTTTTCTCGCCGAACGATCGTCAGAGGCCACCGCGATCGCTGCAATTGCGCCCTCTGACGTCGCAAGCGACGTATTAAATTTAAATTGTACGCACGAAGTTACTCGTAACCGTTACAAGTTCAGCGACGCGAACGGTGAAGAAATGTAAACTATTGTAAACTTTGGTGTCTGGTCACCGTCACGATTTAATGCGGGCGAGCGTGAGCATGCGATTGATGCGATTCGGAAGTAACAGTGAAGCAAGGAGGGACTCGAGGGACCAAGGTAGCGTTCGTTCACATTCCTTGGCAGTTACGAAGGTGCAGATTCCGTATATTCCGTGAAAGTGCGTGGGGCAGTCTCTTTCGAGGGTTCCGACCGTTGAACGTGTTCTTTCCTGTATCCGGATGGGGTTACGTCCCTGTCCCTTCCGCATCTGACTCGATCTGTCTGTCGCGAACGAAGGAGCATGTCGTGAGACATTAATCTCAGAAACTCTTTCTGAGATCTTACTCGAGATCTAAATGTCAACACATCATTAAAGTGTCTTGTGTATAAACGAGGAAGATCATGGAGTTGGGTAGCAATGAGAGATCACGGCACGAGCGGTGCAAGAAGGCACTGGAGGTCCGCGAAAACCCCCACGGCAAATCTAAATATTTCTGCGATCCGGACGAGAGGATGCAGAAGCTGGATGCAAGCATCAAACAGAGGGACAAGTTGGCGCAGGAATTGGTGGCTGTCAGGTCAGATTTAGCTGGCATCTCCAAGCTCAGGAGAAGCTTGGGTTCGTATCTAATTAATTTAATTGATAAAAAGATCTATTATAGATTTTAAATATATTTTTATTTCTTTTTATGTTCCTTTTTTAATATTGTGCGATTTTCATTGCAGAAGCTGCGGAATCTGAAACTCAAACGGGATCAGGAGGATCTCCATACTTTGAATATAAGTTTCCCAAGCATCATCTGCAGTCAGACAAGTTCTCCAAGGAGAAGATGGAGTTGGAGGCAAAGTTGGATGAGAAAAGGAAAGAGGCTCAAGAGAAGCAAAAAAGAATACTTGAACTGCAGGACAAGGTCAGGGAGTTCTCTCAGATGGAATCTCAGGTAGAGCAGAAAACACGGAGATTGGAAACTTCCAACAAGGAGAGAGACATACTGGAGAAAGAATTGATAGCTACAAGATCAGAATTGGCAGGCGTTAAAAGGACATTAGGTATATAAATTTAGTAACAATTTTAGCAACAAAGCTTATATATTGTCAAATTGATATAAACATTCGTGGAAAAAAGTTTATGTAGCCCACGATTGTGTTTCAATTAATATAAGACACGTTTATTGCTCGATAAAAACTTAACTGTTGTTTGTGGGATAGAACTTGAGCGGCAAGAGAGGAGAGATTTAGAAACTCGAGCGCTTGGATTAATAAGAGACGCTAAGCGCAAGTGGGAGAATGCAGAGAAAGATAAAATTGCGCAATTAAATAAGCATATCGAAGCACAAACCACAAAAATTACAGAACTATGCACAAGTAACAATGAAATGAGTTCGCGTCTGCAGAGAACAGAGTGCGAACTGCAAACTGCAAATGCAGAATTGGATAAGTTGCGTATATTTCAAGTAAGTGACATTATAATATGTAACAATATAATGATGTAACAATTAATGTAACGTAATATAATTATTTATGAAGTAACGTGTCACTACTCTACAATGACAAATTATAAATGAAAGTAAAATGTAAATTGAGGTCATCGATAATACTAATTCTCTATTAATATATGTTTATAGACACAATATAAGGAATCCTTGGCAAAGACGCGTGAGTTAAACAGACAAAGTGTTCAAGGCGTAGAAATTAAGTTAGAAGAGATGGCCACGCGCGCTCACACTCAACTGGCTGATTTGCGAGCGAAATTGGACTTTGAAGCGGCGAAGAACACAGATCTCGAGACTAGATTACGAAACGAGCAGGACTCAAACCACTGTCGCGAATCAAGACTAAATGTTGCTCTAGAACTTGCTCAAAACGAATTAAGAGATTGTCAGGAACAATTGCGTACTATACAAGCCACGTTACCGGCCAGAGACGCCGAGATTGAAACTTTACGTAAACAATTGCAAGAGAGAGCGAGACAGATAGACGACTTGAAAACGTCGGAGCAATTGCTCACAACTATGCAAGAGCAATTGGAAAGAATGAATCTTGAAAATGAGCAATTAAAGCAACAATTGCAAGTAGGTATATAAAAAGTATCTATTTTACAAAAGATTAATACGATAAAGCATCATTAATTTAAATTACTTTTCGCAGGTCACCAAGTCGGATCTAAATGAAACCATGATAAATTTGGAGCAAAGTGAGGCGCTTGCTGTAAATTTGGAGCAAGCGGCGCAGGATAAGGCCGTATTGCAAAAGAGATTACAGGACTCTTTGCAAAAGGAAGGTAAGCAAAACTATATAGAAACGAGATTATCAATCATTCCTCTTTCATATTATTCCGTCACTTAATTGTTATTTAATTGCAGAGGACCAACTGCGCAAAGTTTGCAATTTAGAGGAATTGCTGAAACGTTTGGAACATAGTGTTACGAAATTGGAAGCAGAGAATGCTACTCTTAAACAATTGGATGAAGTACCATCTGCAAGTCGCGCAGCAATTATTGAAGCCGCTGATACAAAGGTATTTCATGGACAAGAAGAAGTAGAGAAACTGAAACAGCAGCTTCAAACATTAAGAGAAGACTTAAAAGATGAAAAGCAAACGGCGAGACAAGCTCAGTTGGCTCTGTACAAAAAAGAAAAAGAATTATCAGATGCTAATTTATATAAACGTATAGCAGAGAGAGAAGCCAAGCGAGCCGAGGATAAAATAAAAATGCTACAAGAAGATAAACAAAAGTTACAGGAAAAATTAAGCGGTAAGGTAAGAGAGGAAGAGGAAAATTCTAAGAAACTATTGAAAGAATTGAATATCGCGAAGACATCATTGAATGATATTACAAAAGAGGCATCGAGGAATAAAATGCAGGCTGATTCAGCACAAAGGGTAAATATTTATATTATGTATATTTATTAAATATTTTCTTAATTTTTTGCTGAAATAAATAGAAATTCCTATAGAAAAATCCATTTTTCTAACATGCTTTTGTTATTTATTTTTAATTTATTTCTCATATTTTTCAGGCTTTGACCCAAGCTAATCATCAGATCGAGGAATTGCAATCTTCTAGCGCGTCGTTACGTAGAGAATTGGATACGGCTCGTAAGCAAATGCGATCGAATCAGGAGCGTGTCGATAATCTGAATGCCGAAAACAGACGTTTGACACAGACAATCGCTAGGCATAACGAAGAAAAAACTGAACTTGAATCTAAACTCGCAAAATTAGAACAGGATATCAAGGGCTACGAATTAAATATTGAGCTACTGAAGGAAACTTGTACAGTTCTAGAGGAACAGTTGACGGATTACGAAAGATTAACAAGTGATCATGAAACGCGCAATAATATGCTGATTCAAGTTAAAATGAAGCTACAAAAAGACTTGGAAGCCGCCGAGACAAAATTGCGTGAGGCGGAACTTGCGCAGAACGAGGAGAAAACACGAAGAATGGTAGCCGAACGTAACATCGAACAATTGGAATCTGAGACGAGTGACATAGAAAGCGAGAGAGATAGTCTTATCGTACAAAGGGACCAGTATAAGAAACTCGCTCGCGAGCTCACTATTCAAGTAGAAGAATTGACTACGAAGTGTGGTGAAATGGAATGTGATCTCTCGGAACTGAGTCGTGCTCTAGAAGCCGCTAAAGGAGAATCGAGAGTCGTGAAAGAAGAAAGCAGCGAATACTTGACGAGAGTGCACGAATTGAAAGAGGCGAATTTTGGACTTATGGCCGATCTACAGAACAGCATAGATCAAGGTCAGGCACTGAGATCAAGAATAGCAGAGTTGAACGACGTCGTGGAAGAAATGAGACAATACTATCAGGAAAGAGAGGTGAAGGCCGAAAGTACTCGGCAGCAACAAACTAAACTGATTGATTACTTGCAATTGAAATTGGAGGAATGCAGTAAGAAGAAAAAAACTATGTGCGACAAGATACTCGGTGTGAAGCAAAAGGAGAATGTGCCACCTGTGGGTATGGGCATGCCTGTGGGATATCGCGAATTGGAAAATCAACTCGCCAAAGAACGGGCGAAGGTGAAGACGTTGACGGATCAGTTGTTAATCCAGAAAGCTAGAACAGCCTCCGGATCTGCATCTGCACCTGCATCTCCGACGACGCCAGAACGCGATTGCAAGAATGTGAAGAGTGTTACGCAGACCAGTAGTTCGTTACTTAGGCAGTTATCTCCGCAGAGGATAGGACACAACATTCCGCATAGATATAATGTCGGATGCACAGATCGCATAGATATGCGCGCCGGAAAGTGCACAGCGTGTTCAGAGGCTATACAGTTCGGAAAACGTGCCGCGCTAACCTGCAGTGAGTGTCAAATCATGACGCACTTGGAATGCAAGGAATCTGTACCTGACAATTGTGGTTTATCGAGTGATTTCCCTAAATACTGTCGCAGGGATAGCGATGAGAGTTTATCGTCGATTGGAGATAGCGTCCAGACTTTGGCGATAGATCAGCCAGACAAACCAGATGCGGTAAGAAATCGAATTTTGTTTATTTCTGGTCTTATTTTTGTGGTAATTCGTTTATTCATTTGCATCTTTTGCAGGATTTACAAAGTGCTCCTTGTAAAGAAAAAGAAGTTTCTATGGAAGGATGGGTACAAGTTCCCGATAGATCAAAATTTAACTGGGAGAAGAAGTATCTGAAGTTGGAAGGATCGTGTCTGTGTGTCTACGACCATCAGCCATGTGCGGGAATGGCACCGATTAATCGTTTAAATTTAACAGAAAACAATGGATTTAATGTTTCCGAGGTGGTACAGCAGCCCGTATTAAAAACGAAAGAATCCGACATCCCATATATCTTTAGAATAGAATCGAATTCTGCGACGACTTGCTGGCCTTCGTTTAGATTGGACGTCATGGCACGGAGCCAGGCCGATAAAAGAAACTGGCTTAAAACTTTAAAAACCGTTATTGATCAAAACTCGTATTCTATATCCAACTGTAAAAAGTATCAAACTGTACTCAGATTAGAAAAACATCAGGTAAGCAGTGATAACTGATAATTTGTGCATTATATCTATTTTATGAAATCAAACACAGAAAAATGCGAGACTAGCTTCGATTTGTTTATCTAACAAAATAAGAATCAATATCAACTATAATTGCGCTTTCTTCTTTGATATAGATCTTCTTTTTTATATAAAATTCCTCGAAAGTTTCACGTTTTTCAATTTAATGTTACTCCGTTTGTTTCTAGTTGGATTTGAACTGTGTTGTGGATTTAGGCGTGGAAAATGTGCTTTTGCTGGGTGCGAAAGAAGGCCTGTTTTCATATTGCGCCTCCAAATCTCAGACACTCACTACGATACGCGGTCTCAAGCAGATACACCAACTTTCTTTACATTCTTACCTAGATCTGGCTTTAATGATAGCTGGTGAATACAGGGAATTAGTACACTGTAACTTAAGGGTACTAAAGATTAACGCGGTGGCCGCCGATTGTTCTAGACCGGCAATCAGTACAAAGAGCGTATTATCTAACTCTGATAATTGCCATCTTTACCAATTACAAGGCGATACACTATGCGCCGCAACTACATCTCATGTGATGTATGTAATTTTTAATACATATTGCTCTGTAATACAATTCTAGATATTATTTTATACATATTGATGCAGATTATTGAAATGGAGAAAAGATTCCGGGGAATTTGTCGGGCTTCGTGAACTCGATACACAGGAGCCTTGTAGCTGTGCTATATTTACTCCAAATCTCCTTATTGTAGGCTGTCATAAGTTTTTACAGATCGATCTGCAAACTTATGTCGTAAACGGTAAGCAAATACATACGCAAATAAAATTATATATTTTACACAATTCTTATACCTCGTAATTTTTCAGTGGTAAACGTATAATAATTTTTATCTAAAATTATTCTTATATAAATAAAAAATATAAATCAGAAAAAGTAACGTATAAAACGATTGACGCATTATTCGCAGAATTCCCAGAGGAAGACAATAGTTCAGTTAAAGCGGCAATATCGGGCGCAGCTAAACTTAACATATTTCCTGTTTGTGTTCTGAATATATCCAATTCATACGGCACGGTGGAGCTTTTATTGTGTTACAACACATTTGGTGTATTTGTGGATGAAAATGGTAGAAGGACTCGTGCTGTTGATCCAATGTGGAATCATTTCCCAATCGCTTTTGGTAGATATCAGTTTAGATACATATTAATGCGACGCATTAATTATACATAGAAATTATACTCTATTAAATTATTTATTATCACATTTTAGCATTCTGCAAACCGTACTTATTCATTATTCATTTCTCGTCTGTCGAGATTGTGAAACTCGATGCGGAAGCGTACAGTTCTTCGGAAAAGAGTCTCGAACGTACTTTAATCGAATTATCTAGTCCACGTTATTTAGGTACAGCTTGTTCAAAAGGAATTTATGTGGCCACTATTAATTCTTACCTCGAATTACTGAAGATAGATGGTTTTGTCGGTATGCCAACATTGAACGGCAGTTTGACAAGTCTCGACACACTGTATGTCTTTTCTTTTAAGATAAAATTATTGGCACAAATAAACTAAACATTCTAATACAACAAATTACTAACTATATTAATTTTTTCAGAGGTCAAGAGGACGAAAGTAGCTCAGAATTTAGTTTTACGTCAAGCTTAATGGAGGCTTTAGACGGGCAAGGGAAAAAAGTACACTTCGCTGGAGTACACAAATATTAAAATAGATCTTGTATATGAACATTTGATTTAATCTCAAAGTCTCTTGGCTTAGAAGTTATCTCTTGGCTTAGAAGTTGTATGCGTACGTTTATAAAGCAGCAATTACTATGAAGAAAAACTATGTCTGTAGAACAAACGAGTTTAAAGTGGAATAGTATCTAATTTATAATTAGTTATTGTGCTTCTTTAACAGAACATAAACGCTTCATTAAAATAAAGGACATATATGTTATATATATTTATTTAATGAAGATCTCAGATACTTGCCATATTACTAACCCTCTGATCGTTAAATTTTTCTTCTGTACGCGGTCAATCTTGCTCTTATTTAATTTATTGATTTATTAATACATAAATAAATTTGTTTACATGATATTATTAAATGTACTTATTGATTTATTTATTTATAAACGTTTTTAAGACGTTTGTAACTTGATATATCAAACAGAATGTCTTAAATATTGTCGATGTGTATTAATAAAATTTATGTTGAATAAATTCAATGCATTGTAAACAATCGGAGGGTTAAAGATCAAATAATACGCGGTTTTTATTCGTATTAGAATTTCAAATTCAAATGGTCGTAACATTAAGCTTTATTTTTTTCTTAAAGTACAATCGCGAAAAATATATAAGGCTAAGTTTTATCTATAAGTACGAAGCGTAACTGTACTTATATGATTATATTATGTAAATTAATATTAATACGATAGCGGCATAATATTATAATATATTAACAATTCGTTGATAATTATAATATATTCTTTATATATCAAAGTAAAACTTTTGTATTTTTATAACTTAGTCTAAAATGTGAAGACAATAAAGATATATCTTAATTACAGTACATTGCGTATTATGTCACTGTCGGTTTCTGAAAAATAATTGCGCATTATCAAACGCTTAAAAGTATATTTTTCTTCTTTTTACTTTTGTTATAGCTTTCCTCCTATTGGAACAAAATGCCACAATTTAAAGGAATATTTTACCGAACATTGTAGAAACGAATTATAAATCCATAACTTACGTGATATTGCAACTCGCAACACATTCGCGTGTAACGGTCTACGTCAACGTAACTAATAGAGGATGATAACGAAGGCACATTATGTATTCTGAAGCGATATCCGGCCACCCTTGACTTCTGTGTCCCCGTGATATCGAATATTCATTACGTGAACGGCAGGAAAGGATTATAAAAGAGAATCTGATCGTGACTTATTACAGTCGATTTTGATGTCGAACGGCATGCCTTTTTTATTCGGCCAAGTCTGTAATATATCGTTTTAGGACACTTTTTATCTTCAGTAATCCTCATAAATTATTCTCCTGCATATATGAAAGTTGAGATTAGTCTCACAAGATATCATTAACTGCTTCAGCTACAGAAAATGAAAGAGATTAAAAAATTATAAAAAAATATACTTACAGTATATAATCATTAATTTTGTGTATAATTTATATTATTAAACACGATGCGTAAGGAAAAAGAATTGAGTGAAACAGAATGTCAGGCTTAAGAGCTTGATATATTATGTTAGAAATATTAAACGCTTTTATTTCTATGTCTTAAAAGCAAAGAATTATATGTGAGAAATGTAAAAATATAGAGAATATGTAAACGCAGAATTTATATTTGTAAAACTTGATGCAATTTGATAATTTTTATTTACTACAAATATAAGATAAAAAATTTCGGATATAAGTAAACCAATAAATACTTTTACAGTATTATTGGATTTTACATTATATTAATAAAATTTATTGTAATTCAATCTATTTCTATAATAGCAAAAAATGCATGCCTCTTCTTTATAAAAAAATTTAACGAACATGTATGCGTTAATTAAAATGTGGTATATAATTCTCATTATGCACGCACGCAGACAATATTTAGAAATCCATTATTATTTTGTAATTTTTTGTGAAATTTAATTCTTTGAAATAGTACATAAGAGGAAGTTAGCTATTCAAAAAACGATCTGACGTATTTCTCACTAGTAATGCAAATGTTTAACGGAAGTTCAAAGTTACAATAATGGAATTCATAGGAGGTAGGGATGTTCTTTGTTATAAAGACTCGCCGTTTTCCGCTGTCTCGTCTTTCAGTTGCGAGTCGTCACCGAACCAGTTAATGAGCTCGTTAAGTTCTTTATAATAAAATACATTGTAAATACAAATAGTTTCTATACAGTGAAAATTAATAACAAAATTAATTATAAATATCTATCATAATTGAAAAATCTCATAATTGATGAGATAATATTTCGACAACCAACTTCAGCAACATTGTTTCTTTTCTTCGTATTGACGGAATTAGAAGATAATCCTGGGAACGATGTCTACGGCGAAATCAACCAAGAAGAGTTACAAAGCACCTGAACCTGGCGAAGAAATCGTTATCTCTGGTATTGCCGGTAGATTTCCAGAATCCAAAAATGTGGAAGAGCTCAAAAACAATTTACTAAATAAGGTAGACATGATCACGGATGATGATCGCCGGTGGAAATTAGGTAATTAATAGATCAGAATAAATAAAAAAGTTTTAATTGCTATAAATATATATAAATGGACATATTGTTATTAGCATTAATATATACCAAATATTAAATCTCTTATGCAGACAAGTATGTTTTACATACTTTTTCCATAAAATGATATCAAATAATATATATGTGTATAAATTTACATATAATTTTATGTTAATTTTCCTATCTAAAATATGTAATCATATCTAATATATGTAAAACGTAGAGATACATATAACTCTTTGAATAATACATACATATGATACATATAATAATTATATATCTAATACAGTTAAATGTGTCTATTTTTATTCTACTTACGTAATTAAAACTCTCAGGATGGACATGATGATTTATTATGTTTTTATAAATGCCAACAGATCATCCAGATATCCCTCAGCGTACAGGAAAGATTAACGATGTTGGCAAATTTGACGCCCTGTTCTTCGGGGTCCACTTCAAACAGGCCCACACGATGGATCCGATGTGCAGAATGTTACTGGAGCATGCTTACGAAGCCGTCGTTGACGCGGGAATTAATCCAAAGCAATTGCGTGGGTCGCGAACCGGTGTTTTTGTGGGGGCGTGTTTCTCAGAATCTGAAAAGACCTGGTTTTACGAAAAATTACAGGTACGTTAGTATTATGTCAGTATTAATGCGCGTCAGTATATTACGTAACAATAGATAGACGAGTTAAAAAGAATAGGGATTCACTTTGTCAATCTAAATTTGGATGCAAAAGGAATTTCAAAGGTCAGAAATTTCACATTTCTGCGAAATTTATAATTACTCGCCTGCTTATTGCTAAAATAGAGGATAGAAAAGTGTAGGAGGCGAAGATGTTAGCAATTAAAGTGAAAAATTATTTTCTATTCTTAATTTTTTTGTGATGATTAGGTAAATGGCTTTGGAATTACCGGGTGCAGCAGAGCTATGCTGGCTAATAGGATTTCCTACTGGCTAGGAGTGACTGGACCATCTTACACTCTGGATTCCGCCTGTAGCTCGAGCTTGGTCGCGTTGGAGCACGCTTATCGGTGCTTGCAAGACGGCCAATGCGACTCCGCTATCGTGGGCGGATCGAATCTGTGCCTTCATCCCTACGTATCATTGCAATTTGCTCGTCTCGGTACGATTCCTCGTCCTTGATTACGTTGCAACGTAAAAAAAAAGAGAACTCACGTTTCCTTGTAAATATTTATTGTATGCAGAATCCCAAATAAAAAGAAAATTATGCTATTATTAATTAGGTAATTACGTGCAAACGGTTTTGCATTAAGAATGCAATGCGACTCTTTTTATTAGTTCTAATGTAAGTAATGTAAATAGTGTAAGTAATATATGTAAAGTATCAATAGTAAGAAGCATACATTATTGATATTTATAATATAAATCATACATATATAGGATGTGATCCCATAAAAAATTAATAATATAACAATTCTAATAATAAGTCGAAAAGATAAAGTAAGATTTTTTAAATAAAAATTTTCGTTCTCAAAATAATCAATGAATACCGTACAAAGAATTGAGAATATAATAGGCGATTATTTTCGTATATTTTATGGTAATGATGATTGCAGGGGTTTTGTCGCCTGATGGTCGCAGCAAAGCGTTCGATGCCGACGCGGATGGCTATGCTCGCAGTGAGACGATTTCCGTCATATATCTGCAGAAGGCGAAGAACGCGAAACGGATCTACGCCACGGTGGTCTACGGCAAAACAAATTGCGACGGTTACAAGGAGCAGGGCATCACGTTCCCGTCGAGTTTGATGCAGGGCAACTTGCTGAAAGAGTGCTACGAGGATTGCGGCTTATCGCCGAACAATCTGTCCTATCTAGAATGTCACGGTACCGGCACTAAAGTCGGCGATCCCGAGGAGCTCAACGCGATTGAAAAAGTCATCTGCAAAGAGAGAACTGCGCCTTTGTTGATCGGTTCTGTTAAGTCGAATATGGGTCATCCCGAGCCCGCTAGCGGTCTGTGTCAAGTTATCAAGGTAACTCTTTTTTTTTTTTTTAAGAAATATCGCGTTTACAATGTTTAACAATGTTAACAATCCTTTTGCAAATCTCTAGAAACGAAAAGGGTAAAGTTAATTAAATATTTTTCGATTTTTCGACAAAATACTATATACATATATTGATTTACATTTTTAGACGATAAACTATTTTAGTTGTGGATAATTCTTTCAGAGCTAGCAAAAAAGTAGCTATATAAATCCCAATTTTAATTTAGCGATTAGCTTTCTGTTCTATTTCTTAAGTAATGTAGATAATTCTTTTGAATCCAAATTCACAGATTTGGATAAATTCAACAAGTTTTTGGATATTAAGATTCGAATTATTCGAATTTTTCAGATATTAATACTTCAATAATAAGATAAGTTGACGAATTAATTATTCAGGTACTCGAATTCTAGCAAATTGGCATTATATTTATAATTCCCACTAAAATCCTTCAATTCTTCCGTATTAAAATCAGCTAAAATTGTTACAAACAGCCGTCCAACGTCTATATCACGTTGTTGCGTACCAGTTCTTGTTCAAGTAGTTAAGCTAGTAAGGCAGGAACTACAAATGTATATACTGTAATAGCTTTGTTATCGTCCGATTACTGAAGTCAAGCAACGTTGGGTACGGTTAGTATGTAACGTTGGCATCTAATTTTTTTTTTACATTCCTTTCATTACAGCAAGAAATAGAATATAAATATTTTACTATAATTAACTCTTATAAATTTAACTTTGCCAAAATCCTCTTAAAATAAAAAAAATGTTATTACTTATTTAAAATTTTCTAGAATCTTAATATCTAGTTGGATTTATCCGAATAGTAACAAATATAAATTTTATTTAGCCCTAATTTTTTAAATCCTAATTAAAATTGTTGCCAAAATATTGCAAGTATTCGAATATTTGACTGAAAGAAATAAACAGGAAATAGCTTTTAGGTTTATGGTATATTAATTCATTAATTAACATTTACCATAGGTAATAATAGCAATGGAAACCGGAATAATTCCACCTAATTTACATTACAACCGACCGCGAGAAGGTTTGAAAGCTCTCGAAGATGGCAGGCTCAAGGTCGTCACCGAGCAGACACCATGGGATGGTGGTTACGTGGGTATTAATTCCTTCGGTTTCGGAGGTGCCAATTGCCACGTCGTATTGAAATCTTATTCGAAAAAGAAGATCAACAATGGAGCACCATCTGATGATTTACCGAGACTCGTAACAGTATCTGGACGTACGGAGGACTCTATTAAAGTATTCTTAAGCGATGTAAGTAAAAACTGATGAATAATCAAGACGTTGGAGAGAAAGATCATATAAAAATTAAATAATATAAAACATAGAAAATGAATGAAATATATCAGTCATAGATTAATAATGTAAAATTGGAATTAAAATTTATATCTTTAAATATACCTACACGAAGTTCGACAGATTTCCTTAGAGAAAAATCGACACAGAGCGAAATGTTCATCGAGACATTTCTATCGATTGGATTTGTTTTAGATTTATGGAAAAATTTATTTTTATCTTTTCGTAGATCGAGAGACATCCGGTAGATATTGAATATATCCGCCTGCTGCACGACATTCACTCTGAGGATATCCAAGGGCATCTGTATCGAGGTTACACAATAGTCGGCTCGAAAAAGACGGAGCATATCCCAAAGGAAACGGAAAATTATTTGGGAACTACGAGACCAATTTGGTTCGTATTTTCCGGTATGGGATCGCAGTGGCCTGGCATGGGTACGTATCGTGTTAAATCCTTTTTAATTTCTAAAAATGAAAATGATATATTTTATCCTGATACCTTTTTGTTTATTCGACTTGTTGAATTGTTCTAAATAGGTATCGATCTGTTGAGATTCCCCGTCTTTGCCGAAGCTGTTAGAAAATGCGACGCCGTCTTACGACCGCGCGGCGTAGATATTATTGATATACTGACAAATAAAGACAAATCTACTTTTGACAATATTTTGAATTCGTTTGTGGGTATCGCGGCAGTACAGGTGAGCAGTATATAATCATGCGACACACATTCCCGATATCATTGGCATAATAAAAATAAAAATTTTTTTTAATTAAAAATGTCAGAAATTAAAATAATTAACAAAATTATTATTAATTAATAATAAATTATACAATGAGATATATTAATATTCTTATATAAAAAATTATATGTATTTAATTTTATTTTAAGTAAGACAAGAATGACTAGATATCACTTTAGTTAGCATTATTTTAATTAAGAATTTATAATTAAGATTTTAAGCGTGTAATATCAATAATTAAATTTGAGAGGTTTCTTATTATTCTTCATCGTATTCTGATAAAATATGAATTTTATAGATTGGTCTGGTCGATCTCCTCACATCGGTGGGCATCGTACCGGATAATATTATTGGTCACTCCGTCGGAGAGCTCGGTTGCGCTTACGCAGACGGATGCTTCACCGCCGAACAAATGATCTTATCAGCGTACTCGAGAGGTTTAGCGTCCATCGAAACTAAAGTAATTTTCGGTTCGATGGCGGCTGTTGGTCTTGGCTACGAGGACATCAAAGATATGTGCCCACCCGACATCGAAGTGGCTTGTCATAATGCTGCTGACAGTAGCACCATTAGTGGACCCGCTGAATCAATGAAAGAATTTGTCGCCCAATTGCAGGTTCTATTATTGTCTAACTTACTGGTTTTTTTTTTTAATAAAAAAATTTTTCTAATCTGTATTGATAAAAAATATAACATAGATGTATGCAAATTTATTTTTATTATTTTAAACGGATTTAAATGTGATATTTTAACAATGCAAAACGCTACGCTAAAACAATTTCCAGCGTGTTAATTAAAATCTAACAATACACGCGACATTTGTGTACGTATATGACATTTTCATTGTGGTTTTATTTATCACGTTTTCAAATTATAAATATTTCCCAACAATTTTTTTTTCCCCAATATTTGTTCCAACTAAGTTTTCGTACGTTTAACCAGGCTAAGCAAATCTTCGCGAAGGAAGTGCCATGCAGCAACATACCCTATCACAGTCGTTACATCGCGCCCGCCGGGCCAAAACTTCTGGGTTATCTGAGCGAGGTAATTCCTCAACCGAAGCCACGCAGCCGGAAATGGGTGAGCTCGTCTGTACCGCGCAACAATTGGTCCACCCCGTCTGCCAAGTTTTCGTCCGCCGAATACCACACCAACAATCTTCTGAGTCCCGTACTATTCGAGGAAACGTCGCGTATGATCCCGAAGGATGCCGTGACCATTGAAATCGCACCCCACGGTCTACTGCAAGCTATCCTGAGACGATCCCTCGGCCCGGGAGTCACGAATATCGCGCTCACCCAGCGCGGTCACAGGGACAACGTTGAAGTTTTCTTGCAAGCGATCGGCAAGCTCTACAATACAGGATTACAACCGGATATTGCGAGTCTCTATCCGCCCATCGAGTATCCAGTTAGCTGCGGTACCCCAATGATCTCACCTTCTGTTAGGTAGGTTTGCAGAAATCATTTAAATTATTTTAAATGTTTGGTTATCTGAAATAAAACAAGAATTCTTTTCTAATGTATTAAAATGTAACTGTCCTTCGATCATTACTCTTACGAAGTTCCAATTAACAAGAAAAATGAAGGAAAATTGCACGAAAATTATTTTGAGAATCCTATTAAGTTTTATTGAGAGATTAACATAATAAACTGAAATAAATTATTTGATTTCCTTTAAGATGGGAACACACTGACGACTGGTACGTAACGTCGTATAAGACGCAAAAGAAGATCACTTCCGGAGAGAGAGTCGTTTCTTTGTCGGTAGCTGACGAGACTTATGAATTAATGTCCGGTCATGTTATCGATGGGAAGAATTTAATACCCGCCATGGGATACCTTGCTATGGTTTGGGAAAGTATTGGTATGTTGCATGGGCAAATGCACACAGAGCTATCGGTCGTCTTCGAAGATGTCAGCTTCATCCGTGCTACCCATCTACCGAAAGAAGGCGAAATTAACTTAACAGTGATGGTTCAAAGAGGTATTCTCGATGTTTCTATTCATATAAAACATACAGAGTACTACCGTGATTAACAATCATTGCCATTTTATCGACATCCCTTATAGAAATTTAATACTGTAAGTGATTTTTTGGCTAGTGATTAATCATTTAAAAGCACTATTAAAAGCACTATTAACAGTGCTTTTAATAGTGCTTTTAAGTGATTAATTACTAGCCAAAAAATCACTTATAGTATTAAATTTCTATAAGGGATGTCTTAACTTACATATCAATTGCATTTATAGTCATAGCAACAATCGCATTTATTTGTATCTTATATGGGATGCATAATATTTCATTTTTAATCTTAAAAGATTTAATCTTTTTGATTGCTGCTCGAAATTTTCATGTGATCGAAAAATCCAAATTTCAAGACTGAATTTTAAATTGTTCGAACTGTGCAAGCCTGAAGTTTGTATATTCAAACATTTGTACATGTTCTCATTAATTATATTTTAATTAATTAATCGCGATAATTATTTCTGCAGGTACTGGAAGATTCGAGATAACGGAAAATGGTGCTGCAGTTGTGACTGGATTTATTCGAGTCGTGAAGAACCCTGCGCAAGAAAAGGTACCTGCTGCGCTTTTGCCAGAAGATGACGACGAGGAAGAAGTATTGAATACTAAGGATATTTATAAAGAGCTAAGATTGCGGGGATATCAATATTCAGGCATTTTCCGTTCCTTAAAAAGCGCATCTATGTCAGGGAAGAAGGGACACATTGGTTGGATGGGTAATTGGGTAACGTTCCTCGACAACATGCTACAGATGATGATTCTTGGAATGAAAACGAAAAATTTATACGTACCTACCAGAATACAAAAAATCGTGATTGACACCAAACTTCACCAGCAGGAAGTCCGAAATCAAGATTCAGTAGACAAACGTAAGTTTATACATTTTGTTTTTCAACTTGGTAAATATTTCACGAGGTTTGTTCTTGCATAAGAAGATTAACTACATTTCTTAATTCAAATCATAGCATGGGCTAGCAATGAATTTTTAATCGTTGTCAATATAATTTATATGTGTGACTTTTGTTCATCTTTCCGTATAGATCAAAATAATTTTTTTGCAACTCTTAAAGAAATTTAAATTAGAGATATTTTGTAAAATATTTTTCAATAACGTGTTGAACTTCCAACTTTACACACTTTTTTATACATATAAATGTATTTAAAAAAGTCATATACTATAATATCAATATCAATTCGCAATCTTAATGAGAAATATTATGTATAATATTACATAATCGATAATTATTTAATTGTTGTTTAAATAAGTCAAAATTATAAATTGTTTTCTCTATTACTCTTATCATAATTCTTACATTAATAAATCTGATATCTTATAATTACACGTATATAAATACTGCACTTTTTCGTTGCAGAATTCCCCGTACACGTGTACGAAGAATGGGAAACCATATTATCAGGGGGAGTCGAAATCCGTGGTGTCAAGGCTACGGCTATACCTCGCCGACTGCCAGCTAGCGACCCAATCCTCGAAGAATATAAATTCGTGGCTCATCGCGATAGAGCGCAAACATCCCTGAAGGAGGCGATCAGATTGTCTACGCAGATCGTGCTCGAATATCATCAAGCTATTCATGTGAAGACCATCGAGTTGATCGACGACTCCGACAATGTGACAGCGGATAAATTAGTATCACCGATGCTTACTGAGATTCTGAATGACTTGCCTTTAATTCAACCGAAGGTATATCTGTCAGCACCATCTAATCGTTTCGACGACAAATCATTACTCTCGAATGTGATCTCCATGGACATTAACAATGTGTCTAAAGAAGAGAATATTATGCTTGCCATCGGTATCGGGCTACTATCAAGAGATAAGAAAACACAATTGGAGCAGGTCCTACTGAAACTGAAAAACGGCGGTTTTGTATTGACACGAGAAAGATCGTTCAAAGCCGAAAATCTTTCGACATCTTCGAAGCACGACTTACAATTAGACGTGATTCTAGAGAAGACTATTGGAGAAGAGACTATTGTACTTTTAAAGAAGAAGAAGAAACAGCTGATCAAAAAAACGGAAATCATTCATGTTAACAACGATGAGTTCACTTGGCTCGAAAAATTGAATTCGTTAATGAATGCGGAAAATGAGACCGCCAACATGAGGATAATACTCGTCAGCGAGGGAGACTTGGAAAGTGGCTTGCTAGGCTTCGTGAATTGTTTGAGAAAGGAACCAGGCGGAGAAATAATCAGAAGCATATTGATACAAGATACCAAAGCTCCTAAGTTTTCCCTACAAAATCCATTATACTTGGAACAGCTTCAGCTGGATTTGCCGATCAACGTATTGAGAACGGGAAAATTATGGGGTTCCTACAGACATCAACCGCTACCGAGTCTACAGCCGAAGCTTGTCCGTCATGCGTATGTCGATCAAATGGTATGTAGTAATACGTAAGAAAACATACCGTATTCTGAAACATCTTGCATAGATGTATGTACACACACATATATTTATACATTATTATTACTTTTATATACGCAGTTATATAATATTATATATTATAGTATTATATATAATATATAATTACTCCATTTTTGTATAACATATATCTTTGAAATATAGATACCTGGTGACTTAAGCTCGCTTCGTTGGATCCAGGGCTCTATACAGCCTGATATTAATCAAAAGGATCTAGTCTATGTAGTGTATTCGCCTCTCAACTTTAGAGATATCATGATGAGCACAGGAAAACTCGCTATGACTAATAACACATTGCGTACGCAACGATTCGACGAAAGCACAGTTGGCTTCGAGTATGCTGGTATCGATACCGCTGGTCGTCGCGTGATGGGACTTTTCTTCCAAAAGTAATAATCTTATCAAAAATATATTTGTATACTTTACATTTGTAAAATCATACATTGAAGTATCGTTTTTATTATACTTTCATCATTTAGAAACGGGACATACTACACAATGAAAGTATTAAGTTCCGGCATATTTTCAAAAGTTTATTAACGTAGTTAATGATTGGATTATCGTAGACACACGCGAGAGCTTGAAATTTTCGATTTTTGTACGATCAATAAATTTATACTTTTTCAGATGTATAACGAATGTCGTCAAACCCGATAGAAAATTGTGCTGGTACGTGCCTGACAACTGGTCATTGGAAGACGCGGCCACCGTGCCATGCGTGTACGCAACATGCTATATCGCGCTGTATCAGCGTGGCGATATGAAGAAGGGCGACAAAGTGCTCATTCATTCTGGCACTGGTGGCGTCGGTCAGGCGGCGATACATCTTGCCCTTAATGAAGGCTGCGAAGTGTTCACCACTGTGGGAACGCCTGAAAAACGCAAGTTCATTCGCGAGATGTTTCCGTCGATCCCAGATGATCATATTGGCAATTCGCGCAACACCAGCTTCGAGCAAATGATACTTCAGCAGACGAATGGCGACGGAGTAGACATCGTTTTAAACTCGTTGGCCGAGGAGAAGCTCCAGGCGTCGGTTCGCTGTCTGGCGCAGGGCGGTCGTTTCCTGGAGATCGGCAAGTTTGATCTTGCTGCAAATAATCCTTTGGGAATGATGATCTTCTTGAAGGAAGTCAGTTTCCACGGAATTCTACTCGACAATCTGCTTTTTTCTACAACAGACGAAGAAAAGACAAGCCTGCATGATATGCTAAACGAGGGCCTGAAAAATGGAGCTATTAAACCGCTCGTTAGAAAAGTCTTTAAAAAAGATGAATTGGAAACGGCCTTCAGATATATGGCGGCTGGAAAACATATAGGCAAGGTAAAAAGAAATGCAGTTGATGGCAATCTATTATAATATTATGTTCAAATCTGTTAGGAATTGCTAAAGTATTGCTAACATTTTGTTTACCGGGAATAGTAACTATACACGACCAACTGCTGTCAGCTGTTCTATTGCAATGTTATAGTCACTTAACGATGCTCCCAAGCTTTGAAAAGAGCATTAAATTTATTGCTAGAGTAAATCAAAATCTGCGATAAACTAAAAGAAACTTAACAATTAAGACTATGTTACATATCTTTTATAGGTGCTTCTGAAAATTTGCGATGAGAAGAAGGCCCTTGAAAACAAACCTATTGTCGCTGATCCTCGATACTACTGCGACAGTAATAAAACTTACCTCATCCTGGGTGGACTAGGTGGTTTCGGATTGGAACTGGCCGACTGGCTGGTACGCCGAGGCGCTAAAAATTTGGTGTTGACATCCAGAACGGGAATAAAGAACGGTTATCAGCGCTTGAAGGTCGAGCTATGGAAATCTTACGGCGTGAACGTGCTTATCATCACGGGGGCGGACGCTTCAAGTCGCAAGGATTGCGAATTTATACTGAATTCCGCGGAGAAACAGGCCCCGGTGGACGCGATCTTCAATCTCGCCGTGGTGCTGAAGGACGGCATTTGCGCGAATCAAACGCCGGAGTTATTCGAGGAGAGTTTTAGGGCGAAAGCTTGGGCTACGAAGATGCTGGACGAGCTATCCAGAAGTTTGTGCAAGCAACTTCGGCAGTTCGTAGTTTTCTCCTCGGTTTCTTGCGGCAGAGGGAACGCTGGACAGACGAATTACGGCATGGCTAACTCCGTGATGGAGAGAATTTGCGAGCGCAGAGCGGCGAACGGTCTACCGGGGCTGGCTATTCAATGGGGCGCGATAGGTGAAGTTGGCCTCGTCGCCGAGTGGCAGGATAACAATAAAGAGCTCGTCATTGGCGGTACTTTGCAGCAAAAGGTATCGTCCTGCCTTGAGAAGTTGGAGAACTTCTTGTTGCAGGATCGCCCGGTGGTGTCTAGCATGGTGGTAGCGGAGAAGCGTGTAGGTGCTTATGGAGCCGCCGACATTGTGGAGGCCGTGGCGAATATAATGGGTAAGATTGTTGTCATTTTAGGGGATAGTCTTTTCTAAAACAAAATCAAAAGAGAGGAATCTATAAATTATATACATTACGCAAGGGATAAAATATTAATTCCATGTTTTCAAATTACAAACCGTTTAAGAATATTTTTAGTAGAATCAATATTTCTGGAATCAAAATCATATATGTTATTTATATTATTTATTTCTACTATTCCCACTAGATAGATGTAGATTTTAATAATTAATGCAGAAAATTTTTTCAAATAAAATTGCTGATATATTATGTCGTGTTGTTCAAGAATATACATCACCACCGACAATACACCAAGTTTAATTACATGTCTCGATACTTTTGCAGGCCTGAAAGATTTGAAGATTGTGGCTCAGAACACGTCGTTGGCCGAACTCGGCATGGACTCGATGATGGCCGTGGAGATTAAGCAAACACTGGAACGTGAGTACGATATCTTCCTCACCGCGCAGGACATCCGCAATCTGAATTTTGCCAAACTGATGGAGATGCGCGATAAGGAGTTGGAACGAGAGAAAGCACAGACTCAACAGGACGATGAACAGAAAGTCGAGATATCTGGCATTCAACTGTTGATATCTTTGGGTAACGAAGCGTTGTCTACCGAGACCCATATGGATTTACAAACATGGATGAATCCGCGCAAGATCAAAGTGTTCCTCTTGCCGGGTATACAGGGTTGCGGACAGATATTTAATCCACTGGCGTCGAAGATCAAACCTATCGCAACAGCCCTGCAATATGGATTGACACAAACTGGGCGTAACTTTACGTCTATACCGGAATACGCCGATATGCTTTTATCAGTACGTATACACGGCAGGGCACGAATAATAAATAAAATTAGATATTCATTCGATATTTCCTTTGACGAATGCTTTTGTTGAATCGAAAAGTGCTCGTCCATGCGGGATGACATACGTTTTATTGAAATTTCCAGTATATCTTGCCAAAGGCGGAAGAGCAAAGAGGTTTCGCTATAATCGGATATTCGTTCGGCTCGTTAATTGCCCTCGAATTAGTGAAACGATTGGAAAAACGAGGTTTGAGTGGTCGATTGGTGCTGATTGACGGTGCTCCTGACATGCTGAAAATGACTTTAGAGCAATATCTTCCATCCGCTACAGAGGAAGAACTTCAAAATAATATCTTGCTTACTATCATGGATAACATGCAATCAACTTTAAGCGGAAAGGTAGATTTTACTGGCTGCTAAAATACTTCTCGATCGTATTCGAGCATATTCTTGTTGTCAATATCCTGTTTATTATTATTATTTTTTTTTCATAGCTACTTTTGGATGTCGAGAAATGTAAGACCTGGGAAGAGAAGTTAGATATTTTCCTTTCGTACCTTCCTGATAAAACTTCGATCGAAACTAAAAAGACTTTATGCACAACTATTTACACGCACCTTCTCGCTCTTCGAAATTACGACTCGTCATCCTTGGAACGAATACGATCGCCTATAACACTCTTGAGACCCACAACACATCTTGTCGACATGAATGAAGAAGATTATGGCTTACACAAGGTATTACGCTTCCTCCGTGTACTTTTCACAAACGTTCGAGGTTTAATTTCTCGTAATCGATACCTAATAACACAGCATAAAAAAATTTCAGATCACGCGAGACAAGGTGGACGTGCATTACATTGAAGGCAACCATGTTACGATATTGGACAGCGATAAGGTCATAGCGGCGATTAACGGAGAACCGTTGCGGGATCCTAAAGCATTTAGGAAACTTTTAGCGGAAGACCGGCCGTTCGAATGTGAAGACCAAGAACGTTCAAGAGTCTAAATTACATATTAAAGGCCTGTAATAAATATATATATACTGAATAATATATAAATAAATAAAAATATATAAAATAAATATATATAAATATGTACTGAAAATCTTTAAAAACAAGAAAAAAATGATATTTTTCGTTGTAGAAAACATTCTTTTAAAGCTAGCGAAATAAAAATAATTAAATAAATAAAAGCAAACTTAGCAAAATATATTTATATATTTAACTTGGAAACGGTAAATTTATATTTATATTTATATTTATATATTCTAAATTAAATATATTTATTTAACTTAGAAACAACATATATGTATGTATGTATATTTTTGCCGAGTTTGGACTAAGGCTCTGAACACATGATCTGGATTTGCCAATATTTGGATATCCGAATAATGAATTCACCGAATTATCCATTATTCAAATTTGGAACTATTCGAATCATAGGGTGAAATCTATCTATGATCTAAACAACCGAATCTACAAGTTTTTAATTTAGGTTTACTCCTTCTTCTCCCCTTTCCTCATTGCAGAAAACTAATTACAACATTAATATGCAAAATTTGATTGAAGTTATGTACAACAAAAATGTAATTAAAATAGAAAGAATACTGTATATTTTTTTTGTGTTTCATAGGTATTCGGGCTTTGCTAAGTTAACTTTTATTTACTTAATTATTTTTATTTCACTAGCTTTAAAAGAATGTTTTCTACAACGAAAAAGCTTTTTTTTCTTGTTTTTTAAAGATTTTCAGTATATATTTATTTTCACTGCGTAATCATAAAGCACACAAAGTGTAAAAGGATCTTTGTGTATATGTACAAGCATGTAAAATTACATACAATTTCAACAAATTATGGCATATTGTGTTTTGCCATTAATTTTCTGTCAATTTTTTCTAGTTTGCATCCCAATTCACAGATTTGATTCTTCGAATACTAGAAGATTTAAATCATTTTGCATAATTCGAATATATATGGATAATAATTATTTCAGATACAGATACAGATATTAGTCGGATATTCATAGTGCTAGCTTGGAAATATTTAAAATCGGCGAAATCCGTAGGTGATATAGGTTCTTTATTTATAAGATAAAATCATTATGTTACAAGGTTGACACAAAATTAAATTTAAAAATAAATAAATAGAAAATTGATATAAAGTTCACTTATGTAGTCATTATGTCTTTTCAATTCAATTAATCCTTCTTGGAATTCCTAGTTTTAAATCTTTTCTTGCTTCTCTCGGGAGTACGAGGAATACGAGAATTTATTGTTAAATATTTTTGTCAGATATTTTTACTGACTCTTTTTTTCACATCCACTGAAAATAAATCCTTATCAAATGTAAATATACTTCGTTCAACGAGAGATTGAGAGTGGTTCTGTGCATAGGTGGGCAAAGTGGGGAGAGCGTAGCGCGCTCGTATACGGGACGGCAGTATGGAGGAGGGCTCTCTAAGCCTTCCGTGGGGGGAAAATCTGCGCGAGACGGCCGAATTTTCGTCCGATCTACACTCAATCTCTCGTTAAACGGAGTATAATTAGAAGTCAAGTTATAGCAAAAAAGAGCTAATATCTGAATGATTCATTACCACTGATAAAAGTTAATCTAAAGATAATTTTGGCTAAACATCTTTTCTCAACGAACAATTAATGCTACCAAAAATGAGGCATATACTTGGAATTTAGATAAGGTAATTAATAACGGATAAAGTAATTAATAATGCAAACGTGTGTCAATTTGCTTGCTCTAAAATTGGAAAGGGTATTAAAATTCTGGTTGCAGTTTTAATACGTCATAATCGTATTTTAATGCAAAACTAGTACATACTAATACATACCCAACCATTCATAATAAACGCTCATTACATGTTATCACTTGTTATCCTCTCGTTTTAATAATCATTTCCCACTCACTCAACATTATGTGCAAAATATAAACTAAGAACTTGATAGCGATATATATATATATATAATTTATTTCCTCTATTCTAAGAATCTTTGTTCCGAGTCGCCGATTTTTCTCTAACTCAAGACTTCTTGCAGTGTTCTTCCATTACTAACATGAACAATTCTGAAAAAAGGACAAAACACAAAGGACATTTTGTGCTTGTGCCATTAATAAGAATAAAGATTGACGAAAAATCTCTGAATAAAGAAAATGCTCGGTCCCAATGATCTTAGAATAAACGAGATCAACTCCATTACAAACCTCTAGTAAAATCGTTTTATTATAAAAAAGTATGGAATTAAAAATGGCAAATATACAGAATATTCCAAATCCACTACATATCCTTTGATAAATTCTTCGACCAATTTGAAGCCAATCCTTTCTTGACAGTAACGTCTAGTCTAGATCAATCATCTGCAAATTATAAGTGATTGAGAAAAAGATTTCTTTGTGAAATAAATTTACGGGAACCAGATAGATAACAAAAATATATTCATCGTTTAAATTCAACTGGAATTTATTGTAAAAGAATTTTAAATTAAATTGTGAAATTTAATTAAAATGTATAAGTTAAAAGATTAGAAAGTTGTAATAAATGTACGATGACCTTCCTACACATCTTTGTCAAATTGGATTGTAAATTGGCCAAAAAATTTATCGTTAAAAGAATATTCACTTTTTTGGGACACCATATACAGGGTGTTTCAGAAGGTATGAAATAAACTTTAGGGGATGATAGGTCTCACCAAAAGAATCACTTTTTGTTAAGAAACCTGTGTTTTCTGACGCACCCTTGTTCGATCACCTGAATGGTGTACATCACTCCAGTCGACATTAGGGAGGAGTTAATTGAAAGGATCATTTGAGGCTTTTGATCAAATTACGAACAATATTGAAATGTTCCAAGCAGTAAGAAATTCCATGCTACACAGATATGATAAATATGATCAGGTACGAGGCAGGCACTTTGAACATTTCCTGTAATAAATGTGTAAATAAAATTTAAGAAACCAACAAAAAATACAAAAATATAATTAAAGACGCATGGACTAATATTTTTAGACATCACGCGCAATGCTATCGTGCGAGTCGCCTTCACAGGCGATCCGAATAAGGACGCGTCGGAGGATACGGGACGTTCCGGACGTTCCTTAACAAAAATTGATTCTTTTGGTAAGATCCACCATCCCTTAACGTTTGTTCCATATTTCTGAAACACCCTGTATACGCGTTCTATTCTCTTTAATTTTCAACATATTATTTCATTAAATATTGTAGTTATGTATATTTTCATAACAATAATAATTTTTCTTATATACTTATTACATAAATTATATAAATAAGAAATTATTACGAAATAATGCACAATAAAGTATACATATAATGAAAGAAATATATAGCATGTTTAAATAGCAAAATCATAACAAAGTACAATGAAGTGACATGAAATCCACAATTATCGAATGAACCGAATAAAAATAATATATTAGAGATGTGATTCAAACCCGCACAACATCACTCAAATTATTTATTACTTGATTATTATATAATAGAAAAAACCGCAGAACATATTTTATATCCCTTATCCTAATCTACATTTTGCAGATTATTGAAACTTTCTCCAATTCAGATTACAATATTTATATTTTTTTCATTCTCAATGTATATGGAGATGAAGTGAGCTGTACTAACCAGAGATCCTCATAATTCCATTGGCTCGAACGTTGATGTTGCATTGGATAATATGTTATTAAGATCGGGAATAGTGTCATTATTATTGTTGTTATTATTATTATTGTCGTCGGATGTATTCGGAATTGGCGTTGGAGTATTTCTCGTTGGCAGAACACGAAGATGCCTGTTTGGTGGTTCCCAAAGGACCAGAGCCATAGACGGCCTCTCTCTGAAAAAGAAAAAACAGACCAGATTTAGTTACTAAAATATAGTACTTTTATAAGTACTTTTATCAGTTTTTTTTCTGTCTTTCTCTCAAATAAATAAGCGTCATATTTTTATCAAATCATATAATTAATTTATATTTACAATTTAGATATAAGGGTCGACGGCAGAATTGGTTCCTCTTGCATTCGCTTGAGTTCCTCTGAAAGGACCAATCTTGGATGTAGCTCGCTCGTTTGTTCAGTATTTATTGCGTTCGTTGCATCGACATCTAGATCCATATCTAATTGCTTACGACAAGAAGACGATGGGTGAGCAGTAGAGGTCGACGGCACCGGATTATCAGATTCATAATTGGAACTAATGTGCAGATCTTTGAAATGTGCAGCTATTTTCTCTTCTGTTATAAACTGCTTTGTTTGACGCCTATTTGAGGAACAACACATCGTCAGGATTTTGCCACATAATCAATCGGTAGACGCATGTAAAGTGCACGGGTACTCACATATCTACAACGTCCGGCGCTTCTAATTTTCTCTTCTGATGGACTATCGGTCCAGAGCTGGTCTCTCCAGTGAACCTAACCAATTCCGAATGCTGCAACCCTGGTACGCTCCACGGAATGGTTATCGGCGGTACCTGCGGCGTTTGCATCCATGGTCCAATCTGCTGCTGTTGCTGCTGCGGATTCTGTTGGTTTATCATCTGTTGAAAGATGGACTGCGGCGTACACAAGTGTGCTCCGCCCATGGTATTCTGAGAAATGATAAACACGCAAATAAGAAATACATCGCATATAGTAACATGGAATTTTCTTTACAATATATATGACACCAATATATATGACAGTTTCAGTCACTTGCACTACTCTGCATTGATGCACGCTAAAGACTACTGTACATGAAATTATTTAATGAGAAAATCATAACAGAAATATCTCGACTTATGAAGTATCCAATATAAATAATATCACATTTTTAGCGGAACGTATATATTAAATATTTTATATTTTATTGATCAAAATACTTACATTACGCTTTCGCACATAGATATTTTCATATACAGTGGCCTTTGTAATATCTACTAAAACAAGATCGGTACATTTGCTAAAATTAGTTATGACAGAACCAATGTAACATCATCTTCTCAAATTTGCCAAAAAGAATTGAAGCCTTATTGTTTAATGGGACAAGGATATATCCAAAAAACCAATTGAAAATTAGAGCACGGGTCGGAGTATTACTAAAAATGCATTGTATAAAATTGACAGAAATTATTAGATTACGCCCGATGACTCAGAACCGTTTAATTAGGTCTGTTTTATATCGCCGCACTAAACTGCACTAGAACTTCCCTTCTCGCTTTCGCCAAATTGTGCAAACATATACCTATTTCACTTTAAGTACAAGAGAGCGTACGCTAGTTCAGCTGGTTCGGCAACAGAAAAACAGACCCCTCTTATTTTTTGTTCTGTATCACTCACTGTCATTTGGGATGTACCGGGCCGTACGTCTACTCGTGGGTCTCGTGGATCCAGGGTATCGCTCAATTACCTGCAGAAACGTCATATTAGCGTTAACGTCGGTTCACTATTTATAGAACTCGAAGGCTCGAAGGTAAATAAACGCTATGCTAAACGATTACAAATGAATCATCTCGATTTGGACGCTAACCTGTACGTCTCGGATCACGGACGAGCGTCGCGTCGTTGTGCCTCGTAATCGTATTCACTCTGAGAAGGCGTACAAAAGCGGTACCGTATACCGATTTAACGGGCGCTTCGCGTCTCGCTCTATAATCGCCGCGCCATGAGCCGAGAGGCTTCGCGGGACACCATATATATTTTCCCCAGAAAATTCGCGAAACTTCACGAACTCCTCTCCACTCCCCACCCGAACCTTTCCCCCGTACCGCAATGTTTATACAGCCGACTCCAATATCTCCAGTTGTGTTTGTGTTGGTTTGTAGGTTGTATTCCCCATCCTATTCTTAACCCTTCGGCTCCGTCAGCTGCTCTCCTACTTCTTCATACTCGCCACGTGACCACGCGTGCGCAGGACGGTAATTACTGTTGTGCCGGTTGTGCGCAGGATCAGTCTCGAACGATTCACGCGCACCGCGACGTTGTCACTCTGCGCATGCGTCGTCACGTGGAAAATGTTGGGTGGTGGGGTCAGCGGGTGAGGAACGGAAAGCGGGAAGAGGGGAAGTAGTTAAGAGCGGGGTGATATGAACAATGATACGGAGATTCTGGATTCGACTGTGATCGCGATGTGTTTTCATCTCTTCTATTCTGTAAAATTCTTTAGAACTGAACATTTGTTCGATTTTTGAAAAATTTTGAAAGATTTCTTCGTTAATCTTCAGTCTTCAGGCCCAAAACGATGTACTTTTCATGCTAGATTGCATATAAGCATTATTATTAGAGAAATGCGTCACATAACAAATTTTAAATAATATAATTTATTATTCGTTATTTATATGTGTACGTATAAATAATATGAATATAATATATGTATTATATTCATATTATGTAGAGTTTGATTCAAATCGCCCTAATGCGCATTTCTATCGATGCAGACAAATTAATCTCGGTTTAAATTACTTTTCATCTTTGTTCAATTCTTAGAATTGAAAGAAGATAAAAAGTAAGTTAACTTACATCGATAGAAATAGACATATATTGTGCAGATCTTATTATCGAATTTTCCTCGATAATAAAGAGATAAAATGTTCACTGCGTTCTTTCAATAATGCACATGTAATCATTAGGTGCGAAAAACACACTTCAGCTTTATTGTACGTACATGGCGTAAATTGTATCTGATCTAATGATGATAAGTCTCGTCAATTTTTTCATCAAACAATAGCAGAGATACGTCGAATTTACAGCGATAACAATAAAGCTAATAATATGGACAGCATTTATAAATGTTACGTAAAAAATAAAATCAAGAAGCATTCATAATTTACACATAATGTTATATAAGAGATTAAAGATTTGTGATGTATGTACAACTTGTATAATAAATATATGATTTTATATTACAAATATTTCTATATATTTCTTAATTATTTTATTTGTTACGAGTATATAATATTTTTATTCACATAATATTTATAATAATTCTAATATAAAATCATTAGCGATGCATTATACGCATATTTTGGTAAATAATATCACTAACTTATCAAATTAATTATTATTATTATACAATAAGTATCTACCTCTATATCACAGAATTAAAAGTTTGGAATTATTTCGGAAATATATATTTTATTTAGAAACTATTTAATTTAGAAATCACATCAACTGACCAAAACCATGGTCAAAATTAATAATGTCTCGATGATTGATCCGAAAAAGTGCTGTGTGAATCCGACAAACCAAGTTGGCTCACAGTTTTTCAATGTTCATATCGAAAAGACGTTGTATATTGCCAGTCACGGTCGATTTAAATTACTTTAATTGTTATTCTATATACTGGCGAAAGAAATTTATTATTCTGTATATTTTATTTATCGAAAAATATGTTTTATGCACGTACGAAACTCTGGCATAACAGAACATTTAATTCTGTCGCTCGTGTTATACCTATGATCTTGTCACGCGTATGTTACACGATTTTGTCAGCATTTTTGTCACGCAAATAGCCACGTAACTTTTATACACACGAAGGCACACAGATTGCGTAACTTGTTATGTTCTTCGGTTTCGCCAATAATTTTTATTTTATTACCAAACTATCCAAAGTTTTGGCATATATATGAATTACAGGATTTGCCGCTAAAAGTTTCAATATAGAGAACAAAAAAAACCCCCGACAATTCTAAAAATATTTGTAAACAACTTCGAACACATCGATGATTCTATATTGGAGTATATTTAATTAAGAGCGGAAACGTAAACACTTGCCACTTGTGAAAAAAATTTAATCAAGAAACGTCGTGCCATTGTGATATAAAAGCGTATGAACATAGCGAATTGCATTTTCGTTAATCGCCACGCTAAAACCAGTTTGATTGCAAAAGGTCGATGCGTGTGTGTGTGTGTGTGTGCGTGAAAGGCAGAGAATATCAGGGAAACCTTTCTCCTCGCGGGATACGATAATTTAACTTTGCGGAATGCTGACGCGTCGTATAAAATTATTCGCACAAATACTATATCGCGGTATTATATTGTCTCGCAGCTCGTTATCTGCGACGATCCTCGTACATTGGTATTAGAGAGAAACATGTTATATACTTCCGCAGGTACGCATTATATCACCGACATAGTTGCTACTTATCTGATTTTTCACGGATGGTAATTTATTATAATTGGACTGAAAAAATGATTGGAATAAAAATTAGCTTTGAAAAATCATTAAATCACTTAAGTTTTGTCGCTTCAAACTGATAATATTTCGAAATGAAATACGACATGTGTCCATATACTCAAATTATAAGTGATTGAAGAAGAGGCTCTTCACTGCCGGAAGAGCTAAATATAGAAATGTTTCAAAAGTACAAATAACAAAATCATATTCCACAATTAATTTAAAATGATGTTTTTTCTCCATACAATTTTATTTTAAAGTTGTGGAAATAAACGTTGAAAATTGATAAACTGATAAATGATCTTTTCTGAGATCATTGCTGAGGAAAGACCATGATTTCAGATTCCTCGAAGAATCAGTCATTAAAATTAAAATCGCGGAATCTACACTATAGAAGATATTCAGTAAAAGAAATCCGATGAAGGACAAATTTCGATTAATAATAATATTTTGATCTCTCTCCACACGTCGCACGACGACGACATGGAAGCACACGATGAGCAATCGGAATATCCTGCGTTAGATGAAAATAGACAAACGAGTCGACGCCGCTTGAATACAAAATTATCTTCGATAGTCGCGAGTTTTCATAATCGCGAGTTTTTTTATTTGCTAAAGCTTCGGTAATCCCCTCATGCAGCAAAAAAAAAAAAGGTAAAATGACTACTAAACTGACGTAGTCCGACGACTGTGTTATACAGGGTCTCCGCATATTCCGGCGATTACGTGCTAAACACATATGAAGTAACGTGGCATACAGGTGATTAATTCCGCCTGTCATATATAATGCAGGCTCCTCCATAAATAATACTGCCGTTTATTCCGCGCCATGCTTTTACGAGGACTGATTTGCAGTGTGTTGCAGACATGCGGTTGAAGCAAATTCGAGGACAATAAGGAAGCGATAAAACTTTAATATAATTGCGCTTTATCTTCCGCCATGAACGATTTATCGTTTCGCAATTCGCCACATTGTTCGGCGTACTTGTTTCGTTGCGATCGCCTTATCGCCAATGGACAAGAAAAACAAACGTCATTGGCCGCAACATTGGTCTCTAGGCGAAGCACGTGAGAGGTGAATCGCGCATCGCCACACAATCGCACATGGATACGCGCGGGAGGCCACACGGCCAGTTATTATGTCGCAGATATGGCTCGAAGGTAATTAATACTATTATTATGATTCAGACAAGTACGTCATGTCCGTACTTTGGCTAGGCGATCCTTCAGTCTTCGGTCGGAGCTCCAGTGCACAGCCTCGCGGCCGCTCCGCGTCTTCCGTCATCCGTGCACACATGCATCCCACCGTCGCGTGTTTCCCCGACGCTTTGAGCACCGTCCTGAGAGATAGCAACGTGTCGCTTGTGGCCGGCGATACAGCGACGTGGTAGTCCAATATAGCGCTCCTGACTGTGCGATTCCACGGCGATAATAAGCCGCAGCTGTTGGCGATGTCGAGGCGATTAATTTATAATCCAAATGATTGCGCGATCGCATACGGAACTTTATGCGAATAGTAGAAGTGAATTGTGCGTGTAATATACCTTGACATACCTGCGTGTCCCGAGTATCCGAATTCGTTTAACACCTCGTCGGAAGTGGCAGAGACGAACAATGCGCCGAATGCGTAAACATTCAAAGAGATAGTCCGTGGGATTTCCTTGTTGTACAAACTCCTACCGCTGAATGGGGAGAGTCCGGAGAGTCAATCAAGAGATGAGTGCCTCCGTCGACTGCATCCAGGGCGAGAAAACGCCGAGTGCGAGATTAAACGCGAGTACCACGACGCTCAGCGATATGGGGGAGGACGTGAAAGGTAGCAAATTCAACAAGTCAACGCAGAGCGATATCTCGCTATCGGCGTGGAGGCTCCCTTGTGGCGGGCAGAGATCCAGGCCAGTGTCCTTGTACCTGCCGACGAAGCAGATCCCGATGAGCGAGTCGAGCTTAAGCTCCACGCACAGCTCCAGAAGCACGTTATACCCCGTTCAGAGCGAGATTGTCTTATCAGCTAGAAGCAGGCACAACAATAATAGATACGTGTCGCTGGACATGAGATCGATCAACAATCTTCCGTATCCTAATCCGCATTCCAACAGCCACATTTTAGGCAATAGTACACCGTACACGTGTTGCTGTACGTGCACGGGCTCGCCGCCGCGGCCGCCTCCGCCGGCACCGTTCTCGCAAACTGAAAGCGACGATCAGGACGGGGCCGAGAGTCTCTCGTGGAGAAGGCTTCACATGAGCAGGGCGAAGCTGAAAGCAACTGCAACCACATCTGAGCTTCTTAGTGGATTTGCAATGGTAAGCGTAATAATAATTAATATTAAACATGATTTTTCAAGTTTAAAAATCTTTATGGTTTTTTTTTGTTTGTGTCTATTTCAAAACTTTTTGAGCATCAACATAATGTGCTTACTATCGAAGATGTAAGAATACGAGTGCCAAGATGCAAAAAAATTTTGCTTGATCACGCTCGTGATTGTTCGTCAGTTATTTGAAGTAGAAAAAAATCAAAGCAAAATGCTTTTTGGTTCTCCACGAGCGTGTTCGTCATCCGTATCGCTATGACTGTTGCGATCATAAAAATAACAAACTTCGAAAAAGAAACTCGTACTTATACTGTTTATTTGCTTTTATAAAAATGTTGAGGTAATTAAGTCGTGAATCGATAGGAAGATGAAAGATGAACGTTTTACATTATAATGAAGTTTGAAACCAATCGAACAATCTGATGTTTTTACGTGTACGGACGGATCTATTCAGGTTTAATATTTTAATAAGTTTTTTCATACTTACGCTTTATCAGTTATTACAAGGCTATGCAGATATCCTCTTTTACATCCTCCTATGATAAAATTTTTTACTTCCTCTTTCGACTCTGGCCTTCTTCATCACATCAATCTTCTCGAATCACTTGATTATCGAATTACATGTTTATAACTTTGTCAATTTCATGAATGTTATAAGAAATATTTTTTAAATATATTTTTTTAAGCATTAAAACTGGAAGAAAATGCCTAAAAATAAATGAAAAATTTAAAAATAAGAAATTTATTTATGCATGAAAGAGTTTAAATGTTTTAGGATCTATATTTATAAAACAACAAACCAATATTATGCATATACTGAATTATATTAAAATTAACATATTAAGTGTGATTTACATGAATTGGAAAATATACAATCTAAGAAAAAACAAAATAAAAAAACTAAATATTCTAAAAAGAAACGTGAATATCTAATAATTATTTATATTAATCTGTATACCTATTTTTTAAATACATATACATAGCTTACTTCAAGTTCAGAACAAATTTTTTTTACGTTTGTAAGGATTTCTTGATTTGTATAAAGCCTTTTTATTTGAAATAAAATTAAATATTTCATGTCCGTGCAAATAATTTGGTTCAATTAATGGCGGTAACGTGTAACTTTTCTTGTTTATATGTAACAAGCAAGAAATATTTATAATCGGTCATGATATTTTGAAAGTCATTTAAATGGAACTGTTTTCTTGGAAATCTCCATAGCGGGTTGTACGCGATTACACAACGTTTCCTGAAAATGGTTAAATTGACGTCGACGACAATTCTATGTAATCTTCATGCACATCTGTGGTTATATAAGACAGATATCACTTTCTTTAATCCGCTTCACTTCTCGCGATATCTAACGTAAACATCTTCTAACGTTGCTGACGATTTTAGTAAACTGCATTTCGCTATTTTTATTTTTTAGGTGGCGATGGTGGAATTGCAAATAAATGAACCGACGGCGGTGCCGGAATGGCTGTTTGTAATGTTCGCCGTCTGTACTACCTTCTTGGTATCGGTGCACATTTTCGCGTTGATGATCAGCACGTATCTTTTACCTAATATCGAGGCCATAAGTAAACTTCAAGTTTCGCGTCTCATAACGGAGTCGCCCCACGAGAGGATGCGCGGTTTCATCGAATTGGCCTGGGCATTTTCCACGATACTGGGACTGTTTCTCTTTCTAGTAGAGGTGGCTATTCTCTGCTGGGTTAAGTTCTGGGACTACTCCTTTACCGCCGCCACTGCCAGCACCGTGATAGTCATTCCCGTGCTCATAGTATTCGTCGCCTTCGCCGTTCACTTTTATCACTCCTTGGTAGTTTACAAGTGTGAAAGCGTGGTGTCGGACATGAAAGATTTGGAGAGTATAAAAAGGAACTTGGACAATGTGACGATAGGGCAAACTAACGTGTAAGCTCGAGACAATAATACAAATCTGTAATGTATAAAAATGATTATTCTAAACGAAAGGGAATCCATTGAAGTTTAGGCTAATGTGAATAAGAATTATATCGTATAATTTCCATCGAAATATAAATTAATTTATGGCAGGTAGAAATACTCAGGTTTCAAATAGGTGCGGCTCTACTAAAATAAATCTTTAATGACAGTGAGTGACATAAGAAAAGAACACTATGTGTGGATTTGTTATCAATAGCTTTACTTTTCAAACGCGACCATATGAAAATGGCCAGGTTTTATTATATATAAAAATGTACATAGCTGTACACATGCAAGTCGAGAATTGCAACGGTACAAGCAAGTGCTCTTTAGTATATTACCTATATAATATCCAGCATTTAATAATATTTGTGTGTATACGGTTTAACTCTTGATTTTTATTTAAACCTGTTCCTTGATCATTCTGTCACTATCATACGTCATATCTCTAATATATAGTATCTGTTCTTTTTTTATCGCGTCACTTAGTTTGTGGAAAAACTGAAGGACAGTCGAGTACTTATTTTATGTACATTTTCCTGAAATTTACATAATTTTTCTAGTCAATAAATAAATCGTTAGAGTTTAGGATGTCCAGCAAAAAACATGGTTTAATATTTATATTAGAAAAAGAAAATAAGTATTATAATTAATGTACCTCTCATTTTTGCCATAAACTAAGTTGTAATCTTATTATAAACGATTTCTATAATTATTATGCCTTATAACTTCTTTTGTACAAAAACACTCATCGATCGAAGGAGTCGTTGTAAGCAAAACGGGGAAATACACAATTACTTTAGTACAACAAAAGTATTATGTGATACCTCTTGCGATATAAATTATAAATTATATTGCACTAATCTATGTCCGAAAACTTGAACGTTTCCTTAAAGATACACGCTACGTCGTATTCAAAATTCATTGCATTCGATTATTTGCTTAATAAGCAAAAATCTCTTTATAGAGGCATTACGTAGATCTTACTGTGAAGTTTACCTCTCGAGATTATTCGTATGTACATTGGAAGAGAAAAACAAATTCGAAATGTACATTATAAAAATATAAATGTCATGTTGCAGTGTACGTAACTTGGATAGGAATAAAAAAAGAAAGAAAAATACTGAGAAATAAATTGGTAATTTGAGCATTAGTCACGGTTGAAAACTACTCTTTAAGAAAATATATAAATTGGTTTAAAATTGATTAAAACCATTTTACAAACGTATTTTCGTAATTTTCGGAAAAAGTAATGGAAGTAAAATATATTTGATTACTTAATTTATGTGGTTATTATAAAAAAAAAAATGGTTCGGTTGACATTGCATATGATAATGACGGAGAATAAATTGCTTGTGCTATGGACAGGTAGGCAAATGAAGAACGAGGTAATATTAAAAACATAACTATTATAAAGTTAACGAGACGAAATGCCTTCTGTTTATAAGAGAAAATTTAGATTTTGTTTTTCTACATTAACATACATGTGTATGATGTTATTAATATACACAGATTAAGTTAATTCAAAATGCCGAATACTTCACCTTCCCTATTATATTTTTCTATCAAACTGAAAAAATACTATTTAAAAAAAACCTATGATAATGTTTATCCGAAGAACCATAAATTATGAAAGATTGTTCTGATGTACGTATATAGTTTAATTCGCTGAGTATAACGATATAAAAAAATGATTCAGGCAATCGTTAAATGTGTAATTGAATTGTGATTATGAGTTTTACGTAACCTATTATAAGAAACAAATATGAAAGTCGTTATAATTCCACCTCTCTTAGATACATAGTATTGTATTATATTAGAATATATTATGTTATATTTTTCATTAATCTCTACGATATTATAGATATTGATCTAAGAGAATGGTAGAATGGAAAAACTCGTTTATCTTTCAGAAGAGTTACTTAATAAATTGGCTTTGATACATATTATCTTCAGTCTTGTCTTTAAATAAACATATAAAGTCTTTCGGATGGCCTATCCATAGCAAGAGCTCGTTTAGAAAGCCTTTTTTTTTGTTGAAACAAACCTTCCTGTGATTATCAATTATCTTTAACAACGCAATTTCGTACTTCACCTCCTACTTACATATTGAGAATGACAATGAACTATACTTCCGAAATAGATATGACTTATTAACAAGTAGCAAAACAAAACGTGATATCGAAAAGCGTGCCGTTGATTATCGCAAAACTTCGTGCCCCCTTAAAAGTTTACGAAAATGATAATAAATATATACATTTACTTTTAGTATTACTACTTTGCTCAGCGTTAAACCAACTTTAAAACAAAGTCACAACCTACACATATATGTGTATTGGATTCTTATCTAAATATTCAAACAGTTTATAAATTATCCTATTCATAGCTACACATTCGCAAGTAATTCGATTCTGATTGAGTATAGTGAACCAAAATAGCGAACTAAAAATGCGATGAGTCTTGCCAGTCATTTGTAACTGAATTTTGTGGGAGTAATATTTAGTTCTCTATTTTTTTTTTGTTCGATCAAAAGTAAATATTTTGAGAATATTTTATTTCTTACGATGACTCTATAGTAGAAGTAAGACCTTCCTTCATTCGTTAAATTAACCACGTGATACATAGTCTTTAGTTATTACTTATTAGCTCGAAATGACGATAATTATCGGTTGTATCATCTACTGTGCACAATGTCTATCCATATACTCAACATCAAGTTAAGACACAGAAAGAATGCCAATAATATACGTGTTATTTGGCATTCCAGAAATATTCTCAGAGACTTTTTCGTCCTCTATCGTTTCGGTAAAAAGTTCTTTGCACCGCTAACATTACATTCGTGACATTATATTACATTTAAATTATTTATGCGGTATAATGTATTTTTACATGTATTTCTGCATCGCAAATAATCATAATTGATCCTTAGATCTGATTTATTCTCTGTATGTCATATTGACTTTAAAAAAGAATGCGAATGAATTGCGCACATGTGTGTATGTGTAGAAAAAATTACTTACATTAAATGACATTGATGAAAATAAAAATGTGAAGTTATATGACGGTGAATCTCATGCAAGAATTTTGCCTCCAATGCAACACAATATATAAAGACCCATGACTCTTGTCAAACGTCCATGTGTTTAGAAGGTTGTTGAGATATGAATGGTTCACTCCACATCCGACGCAAATCTCCCTGAAAGTAAACAATTTAAATGTAAATATAAAATGTATTTTACTTTGTACATCATTCTATACGTAATATATTATCCACAATGCTCTATAAAGCAAAGTATTACTAAAGATTTAGTTTTTATAATTGTAATAGAATTCAATACAATTTTTAAAATTATTTTTTAATGTTATTAAAAAATATTTTAGATCATGCTTTATGCTGACATGAATTCTCTTTGTCCAGTTTAGAATCGACTTTTTTTTAAACAAAAGTATGAAGGAGTATTTCTTGCAAGTTTCTATAATTTGCTTAACATTAAATAAAATTCAAGTCGTTAGAATATATACAAGAAACATAACGGTACCTTCAGATACGCCATCGTGAGTAACGGCAACAAAGTGAAGGGCACAAGGTACAATAAGGCAGGCTGCGCAGCTTTGAACACCTCAGAGCTTACAGTGGCGGTAAGTAGACCAAGAAAATAACCGATCAAGGAGCAATGAAAATAGCTAATTCGGCTCAAGTGGCGCGGCGGTGGTACTCCAGTTTCACAGCCGCCGGGCAATAGCTGAGTTTTTTTATATGCGTCGTATCGCAAGACAAAACAGAGCAGAAGACCCGGCATGACTACATCGCCGAGGCCCAACATCGAAAAGTGTCCCGCTTGATGCATCGATGGGAAAACCAGTTTTCCAGGTAAAGGTAGTTTCGGCGCGGCTCTCGCCACGCCGCCTAAGTGTAATCTTCTAGCCACGAGACTTACTGGATTATCCGCAGGCCTAGTTGCTACCTGTGATGATAACAGATACAACATACATATACGATATTATCATTAAATATGTGATATTGTATAATAAAGTAACCTCTATAAATAAATTTTGTAGATACATTGTACAATTCAATTTGCTCTTATTTTACAATGCATCATCGTGAAAAAAATACTGTAGGCAAAATAACCGTCACAAATTTGTTTGAAAAGAATGCGACATGTTCTTTATCACATATAACGCCTTTATAAGATTTGCAAAACTTACCTTAACCATTACGTTTGTGCTGAATATGTAGGACGAAAAGAAAACCCAGAAGACATCGTAAATCAGCAGTCCGGTTAACAACAATGTGGATACCTTGAGACTAGGTAGTCGAACAAATGCGATAAATGCCACGCACAAGCCCATACCCATCGCATCCATCAGTAGCCAGTGTCCGGTCAAGACCCAGATGCATACTATACTCACACTGAGCGAAAACGAGAGTAATTCCGCACCGGTGAATCTCCCGCAGACACCGAAAGATATTTTGTTACCATCGGAACACGGTCTAATGATATACTGACACATGGGCAATAAAAGAAACGCCAATGCAACCGTAGCTATAACTGCAAGAAGATATACAATTTATGTTAAATATAACACAGTGTCATACCAAGTGCTCTGCATCAAAGTTATATCGTTACGATGCAGTTTATTCTAAATCGAATTTGTTACCAAACGTACTGGCTGTACAGATTGCGAGAAGCATCTGCATACTGTCGAAAAAGAAAAACATGACGAGTAGAGAAATGGAAGCACCGAGAGGTAGACAGAGAGCATGCATCGTATCGAGAGTTTGGACTCTTCCCCCGTTAGCGCCGTCCGGGTTACCGGCGCTGGTGTTGCTCGTAATCCCAGTCAATAAATTACTACGTTCCTTCTCCTTTTCTCTTTCCCTCGCCTCCTGCTCCATGTTTAGAGATCGGAAACTACCGTAAACTATCAGTAGAATTGATATTAGGAAAGTGGATATCCTGGATGAATCCATTATGGAATAAGCCCTGCAACGAGTCACAAACAGCGGTGATTGACAAGCGTGTAATTAACAACATTTGCACGTAACTTGCAGAAAAATAATGTATATAGGTATCAAAATGCGAGCTGCGACATGCACTAACCACTGGTAGTCGACTTGATACGTGGCCATGTTTAAGAATGCCTGGCCGCAGCACTCAGCGCTATGCGAGGACACCTCCTGACATTTAGATGTCCGTTGTTGCAGTGCTTCTTACTCGCACTAACCTATATCAGAGATCATCTGCTACAAGAAGAGAGAAAAAAAGAAATGGAATAGCATTAACCCTGATCAAAACCGACGACGGTCATCGGTCGTCGACCGTCGGAACGTGAGAATCGGGAAAACTTACCTGGTGTCCCTCGAGTTCAGCATTATTGGCGAATTTGGAATTAGGCCTGCGAAAACCTCCGGGTCACCCTCTTAAGCGGCGCGACGTTAAGGAAATAAAAGAGATTCTAGGGTGAGCTTACGGTGCGGACGGCGCGGCGCAGCGAGGAGGATCGAGGACGAGCTGCTCGGCGCAACGCGCAACGGGACGAACGAACGACATCGCGGGCGACTCGGGTCTAGCGCGACACCATCGCGCGACTAGGAGGCGGCGATCGTCGTGGACCGTCGTGAACCGTGACCGCCTCCGCGTCGGCTCCTGGGCATCTCCCGCGGCCGCGCCACCACTTTCCAACTTTCGCCAGGCCGAGGACGAGCGAGAAACGGGGGCCGACGGAGACGCGGAGCGCGCGGATCGACTCGTCCGGGACGCGACGCGCGAACGCACGGACGCCGTGTCGAGACGACGGCGACGACGACGCCGTACGATCGGAACGCCAAAGCACTGCGTGCGCGCTCTCTCTCTCTCTCTCTCTCTCTCTATCTCTCTGTCTCTCTCCGTTCGGCGCACGTAGCACAGCTGATCGCGGCTATTTACGCATCCGAGCGCCGCGCGGCCGCTCCCGTGCGGACGGAACGCAGGGCCGTTCGTATCGCACCACGGACGACGTTCACCATTTTGGTAAACACACGGGTCACGTGATCCCCCGCTGGACCCTGGGTCCCGAGCCCCGAGGCCCCTCCGAGAGAGGTTTCGCTCCTACTCCCCTTTTACCCCAGAAAACTGCTCGCGCGCAGCTCGCGCTCGCCCTCGCGACTCTCGCGACCGAGAATAATTCTCGCCGCGACACGACACACGCGACACGCGTCTCTCACCTGGGCGATCCAACGTCTGGGCCCGTCGCGGAATCGCGCATCACCTCATCGGCTCACCGCGAGCTGTCCCAAGTCCTAAGAGCGACGCGAAAACGGGACCGTACGAGGACCGAGGACGAGGAGTACGAGGACACGCTGAATGAATATCTCGTCGTCGGCGCGCGCGTGAGAGCGGTGTCGCGACCACCACGACACGGCCGCCGTCCCGCCGTACCGCTGACCGCACCACGATTGCCACGATGAGAACTACTGCGCGGAGTGCGCACTGCGCGGGTCAACCGCTTGGCTCCAAGCTCGAACGGGCGCAGGGCGCAGCCAGGTCTGCACTGCACTCCTGCTCCTGCCTGTCGCGAGCGCGTCTACCGGGTGACCCGGGTGTACTGGAATACGCGTCGCCTCGCAGGCCTCGCAGCCGCCGCGCGATCGCTAATTCGTTCGACGTTCGACACGAGGAAACGGAACAACATTTCACCCGTCTTTCCGGAACTTCCATTTCCTCTTTCTCAGGATTGTCTAGATTCATAAAGCTCAATTTAGACCATTTAGACGAGCGACAATTCGCGATAGAAAATATGACGCGTTTTAATTTAAGTTCGTTTTATGCCATGAATTTTATTGACACATATTTATATACTTTAATATATATTGTATATATGTGTGTAGTTTTATTCTTCACAATTGTTTTTTTTTTTATATCGCATGGCGTGTAAAATGGCTCTCTGAAATTCAAATTTGAAAGTATCAGGGATAATTGTAGGGAGAAATTATTTGGAGTGTAAACAATATAACGCAAGCTTTTTAGTGATTAAAAGTTTATCTTATAATAAATTATATATTTTATTATCTTACTTATTGTTAGTAATTTATGTGAAATTATCTTGACAAATTACGATATTAAAGCAGCAATACATTTTTGATGTTATTAATAATAAATGCAATTTAAGATAAAAAGAATGAAAATAAATAAGTCGATTTATATTATTTATAAATATGTAAAAATGTTATAAATGTGTGAAATCTTTCTAAAATTCAAAGATTTAAGTAAAATTCCGGACATATTGAACTTATTCCTGATTAGCGAATTTCCGTGTTGGACCGAACATGGCAGAATTAACCGCCATATTTAAAGACGGAAAATGAATTTGCAGACACTAAATGACAAACTTACAGGTTTATTGACACATCGACAAAGTATTTACATACATGTACTATTAAGTACTGTTTTAAAGTTGCATGGATGGTTAATTTATAACGCAATATTAATTTAATGTTTTATTATATTGTTTAGACGTTTCGATATTTACTGTCAGTATTGAAAATTTATTGCGTACCAAACTATAGATTTTCAGTACTAACAGTGAATATATATGGGAACACAGCTATAGAATCTAATGCTATACAGTCTCTGAAGGGTTTCTGAATTTTTACTACAGGATACGCAGCTTATATTCGTATACAGTCAACAATAATTGTCAACGTATAGTCAAGAATCTGCAGTATTGTAATTCGCTTATGATTGGCGTGTCGTGTGTACAGTCAGGAGCGAAAATAACGTTCAGGGATGTAGCGAGAAGAACCGTATCCCCGAGCTTCCCTGTCTCCTCTAGTTGGCCAACCGCTGAAAGAGGAAAGAGAAGGTGTGGCGAAGAGGGGAGAAAGCGCTACAAGTGCAATTCCATTCGGTGTATGTAGTAGACCGGTGTATGTAGTAGTATGTGTACATACATGCATACGCACACACGGCACACAAATCATGAGCGCGTTACATCAGTGACGACGGTAACAAAGGTTAGGTGAGCCGTCAGTGAGGAACGTGGCGAGTCCGAGTGGCGTGTGAGTCGTGGCGCCGTACGCCAAGGAGAAGCGAGGTGTTCCGTCGCCGAAAAGAAGAAGATCCGCACCAGCGGATCGCCTCCAGCGATCACCTTGACGCCGTCATCGCCTGTCATTCGACCACTAATCCCACGTACACCGCGTCTGTGTTCGTTGCGTGCTCGACGGCCGACGAGAACGAGACGGAACGGAGACGGCAAAGAGACTACGCGAGGGGGGAGGTGACCAACCCCCTTCACTCTCCCGCTCCTCACTCTCTGTCAGTCAGTCAGTCTCTCCTCTCAGGCCTCCTTCCACGTCCACGAGGAATTACCAAAATGGTGGCGCGGTACAACGCGGGTGATGTGTAGGCAGACCGCGGCTCGCATCGCGTTCGTTTCAGGGAGGTGCGAGGTACGCGAGCGCAACTGCGCGAGGCCGACGACGGCAGCATGGGCGACCCGAAGAGCCAGCACGGCGCGCAGGAGATGAAAGGCTGGCTTTTCAAATGGACGAATTACCTGAAAGGTTACCAACGGAGATGGTTCGTCCTGTCAAACGGCCTCCTGTCGTACTACAGGTAGTTTCCTACGTGTCGTCGGACCCGCGGACGTCGTCGTCGCCGACGTCGAACCCGGTCGCGATCTCCCCGCGTCTCGCCAACCGTCGCGGGACGTTTCTCGCTCACGCTGTGTTTTTTAACGGCCCGATCGATCTCTCGACGTCGTGTCGCGTCGTCCTCGCGGCACGCGATCCCCGTCGTCCTCGACGGCGATCAACCCGGAGAGAAGAGAGGGGAAAAAAACAAAAAAGAAAAGGGAGAACCCGAAGGTGCGACACGGAGCTGCTCTCTGTCGAGCGTCGCGCGATTAGGTTATGTGCGCGGTGACAGAACTCTTTTGCGATCTCGCTCCCGGGTCAAAAATAGCCTGGCAACAGCTGTCACGCGTATTCGCGGTATCGTCTACGCGACGGGGCGGGGGCGAGCGCGGGAGGGGACGATACCGTGCGATTTATGCGCTCTAATGCAAATAGTTTGCGCGCGTTGTTAATTCGGGCGAATTCGCGGGTATATCTGTCAGGGTCTCTGCTCTGCGCCGTACAGAACCGTTAAAAAGAGAGATAAGAAAACAGACTTCGCTTCTTATCCGCGGCGTGTGTCGGCCCGAGGGACGCGCCGCGGGGAAACAGCTCCCTGTCACTCCTTTCCCCCCCGAGGGTTCACTCTCGTCGTATCCACACCACCGCGTGACATCGTAGTCTCTAGTTCTAAGAGAACCTGACGTCAGGGGACGCGAGAGAAAGTATCGGATGAGAAACATTTAGACGCCTTTAGAGAGAGAGAGAGCGCGCATATTCACGTAATACCGCAGGCTTTGTGCGATTTCTCAATGGCGTAATTTGCGCGAATCTGGTTTATCCAAGTCTTAATGCCGAATTGGAATCACGTTTACTCGAATTGCACGATAAACGTTCACCTCCAGCTTTAACCTGAATTCTCGCGGTGCCGTCGTCAGCGCGTTAACGCGCGGGACAGAGCGACGAGCGGTCTCGACGATTACATAAAAGCGTGACAAAACTCCTTGCGGATGACACGGATAATATTGCGTATGACTCGCTTAAGTCTTATACGGTCTGCAGGATACGTCGCGAAGCGCGCGGGGATCGGTAGGAGGGATCCTCGACGAGTCTGGAGTCGAGTCTTCTTGGAGACAGCTTACTCGAAGAGGAACGTCCCAAACTCAAACTTGTGGATAATATTAAACCAAATCGGAAACTTTTACTTCGCCAGTAAATGATTAACGATAAGGATTTTTTTATTCAACCTAGCTCTGGCTATCTTTTTCGCTGCAACAAATATTCTACAGTGGTTCTAATATGTATATAAGGATGCTTATGTATATTAGCATCAAAGTTTCATCGATTGAGAAAGATCAAAACAGAGTCGAAACGTGATGATTATAACCCTCAAAGGACTCCGTCGGGTCGTTTTCGTCCACCCGAAAAATACTGAAACTCATTTTTTATATTTATTATGAATTAAAAAAAAAATCACTTTTTTTTTTTCAATTTCTTTATGCTAATAACTAAAAAAAAACTATTAAAGAAAAAAAATTTTAGAAACCAACATTACAGCTTAAAAGAGGAAAGTTCAAAGAATATCCATGAATTTTGCGGAATTTTTTGAATGATATTTAATATTATTAATATTTAATATATAAGTCGAAAGGCAAAAAGGACCCGACGGAGTACTTTTAAGGTGCCAAAAAGCAGAGTCTTTTGAGGGATAATTAATAAAAATAGTTAGGTCGAATAAACAAATCCTCACGGGAATATCAAGTTGAAGAATTATTCGAGATTGACTATGCAATCGTTCCAACACTGAGAAAAAAAAATCGTAGATTCAAAGAAATATTATTTGATTCAACTAAATGCAGTGGTCACGGGCTGTCAAGCTAACATTTGTTAATTCAAAAAATATTATATTTAAATAGATTCAGAATTTCTTGATATTACTCACGTATATTTGATTTAAATATATTAATATTTGCATTAAACAAATCACTACAACTAAACGAGTTTAGTCAAATTTACAACATTTTTTTCTCAGTGAAGCGTCAAACATTCGCGTTACAAGGATTTTCTATGTACTTATTATAGGTCTATTCGTTTTAGCTGAACTTGTTGCGCGGTTCATCTTTCCTCTTTTTCTTTTCACGTTGCAGAGAAAAAAAGAAAAAAGATGAACCGTACAAGAAGTTCAGCCAAAACGAACAGGCCTATTATCCTGAGAGAGAATGACGTTTCTGAAAACGATACAATCCTATTGGAGACCCTCGCCTTCGACGACGCATCGGAGGGAGTTTATCACGTTCAGGATATCTGCACGTCTTTCGTTTTTAAATCTCCTGCGAGACTCTCTACGCCCTGGATTCGCTTATGGCGCTTCGTAGTTCGCAATACGACAACATCCGTCACCTTAGCCGGCTAAACTTTTACGCGAATCTCGCTGCGGGAACCCCCGGATTGTAATTAATAGCAGAACGAAAGACTCGTTACGACACGAGAGCGCAAACAGCCCCCGGACCGTCTGTAATCTCGCGGTCTCCCTCGTTATCTCCGCAAGTAGAGCAGCCGCGTTTCTCCGACAAACGATTGCGCACCGGCTTCCTAGAACAACGTTTTCTTTTCTCATTTTTTTTTTTATTTGCTCATTTTTAACACTCCGCTTGGCACAGTTTGTGTGATTTGAGTTTGCAACGCCTCCACCGAGGATTGTTTCACTTGGTACGTGTTTCACGGGCACCGCCGGCGTATATATATATACGAATTTTATTCCCGTGTTGTATGCCGTGAGGCTTCTTCTCGCACAGTATTTACGACACGCGTTAATAGCATGCAAAAGTCCACAGCAGCGCTCGCGTTTACGAACCGAGTGAACTTTTTATTGTCTCGCGTCACTCGCCGACGCGTTTACCGGTTTCCTTTTTTTTTTTTTATCTTCCTCTCGATCTCGCGAACTTGGAGCGACTCGACAAAGTGAAAAGATTGCCCGTACATACTCTTGTCGATTTCTTGCGGTAAATGACAAAAAAAAAAAGAAAAGAAAGACGAGGAGAGAACGAAATATCTCGAGTCAATAAGCACTTGCACACAGTGTTACACAATGTGAACGGGGTCTATTTGTTTTATGGATTGTTTAGGGCTGAACCAACAGGGGGGCCAAAGATATCATCGCGACGCAAGCGGAGGGCTGGCAGAGCCTCCGAGTAAGTAAAAAAAAAAAAACAAAAACAAAAAAAAAAGCAAAATCAAAAAAAGATAAAATTGAAATCGCATCCCGATTTCCCCCTACCCCTCTCCGCGAGTTTGTAATTAAAAAACTGTCCCCTAAGGACGTTTGTTCCCATCTCTCATTTTTTTTAACTCTTTTAGAAGTGGATACTCGATCACATACATACACATACACATCACGTACCCACATACCGCACACACATTACGTATATATAACTCTACATTTTTCCGTGCAATTTTAACTTATCGATGGCCCTAATAAAAGAAAAAAATCTCATCCGCTTTCTCCACCTACCTGTAACATGTCGGCGGTTACATCACGTGTATCAGCTGTACGTGTGGAGTCTGGAAATTAAACGTGCCCTTCTCGTACCGCTAAACCGTGTGCTAAACGTAACACTTGATATTCTCCATCGTCCTTTTCTCTCACTCACTCTCTCTTTCTCTTTCTCTGTTCTTTATTTCTCTGTTTCTCTGTCTTTTATGTGTGTGTGTGTGTACATAATGCAGCCGCGCGCAATGAGACGTACCGCTTCTTTATGTCGTGTCCTTTATTGTGCCGGTTACGTTCGTCTCGATCCATCGTCTACTTTTGTTCACTTTTCTAGCGGTTTCTCACGCAGTGTAACGGTCGTTGTCGGATCGGCGAGATAGCTGTCTACCGGTATCTCTGATGATTAGACGGTTTTGTTTTGTTTTTTTTTCTTATTCTTTCAGGCGGACGCTCGAAAGTAGCAGAAGAAAATTATCCGCGGGTCACAGTTTTACGTTTTCTCCCGTTCTCCGAGTGCGATCGACGAAACGGAAGATTTCGTAATGTTCTCTCTGTCTGAATGACTTCCTCCTTTCCTCTCGATTAAACATAATTTCCTTGTTTTCTTTCCAGTTACGGAGACTTCCTGTCGCCTAAATTTCCCTTCACGCACCAGGATACAACTCGGCGCGAGATTTATCGACGTACAGGGTGCTTCCTTTCAGCCGCGGATTTTTACATAAATTTTTACGTTCTGTTTCTCCTCAATGAAAATATGAATGCTGGCTGGATAGACGGATGCCATGCATGGATGCGCGTTTCGATATATCCGATAAGTGAAAGTTTAATCCGAGTACGCCGAAGAATCTGCGGCTTGAAGGAGAAGTGTATCGTCGGGACACCCTGTATATAAATATCGTGGATACCGCGGAGTTGAAAAAATCGGGTCAACGTATCTACGCTGAATAAAATGAATTTTATCAGCAG